TTCCAACTGAAACGAAGAGCATCCCGTGGGGAATGGTAGCGAGGCTAGGCATGAAGGTACTGGAGGGTTCACGGCCCCCTTTTGTGATACCGTTAAGGTGACAGCTGGGCTCGACAGACTCGGAAGCCATTTCATAGATCTATCATGGGCAACTACACAATCACACGTCTTCAGTGGCAAACACCCTCCGCAGGCTGACCTGGGCGGGATACCCATGTGGAATCTGCAAATGCAGCCTCCGCCCAGTTGGTCTTACACAAATAACGGTCCACCTGCAAAGAGAACGCCCACTCGTCATTACCGCTTCGCAGGCACCCCAAACTCCATCCAGCCAGTACCGAGGGGCCAGGCCGCCCCGGGACAGGGGAGACCAGGTGTCCGCTGTCACTCTCTCCCGGGCTGGGTCTGAGTTCACCGGGAACCTTTCCGTGCCTCTCGGCCCAGCCCGAGCTGACGGGCACTCGTGAAGAGCAAGGAGGCTGTGAAATCACACAGTGCGATGTCGGTCAGAAACACTGGCCATCTGCATGTTAATGCCGGATTATAAGGAACCCCGAAGAAGTCCAGGGCAGAGGAGAAAACACTGCATGGATTGGCTGCAGTGGTGTCCTCACCCACACAGGGCTGGCAAAAGTAGGTCTACAGTTATGAGTCTGCAAAGCACAGAGTTTAGTCTTATATTATTTTTCTAACTAGAGGTCTGGTGCATGAAATTTGTGCACTCAGGTGGAGGGCGGGGAGGTCCCTCAGCCTGGCCTGTGCCCTCTCACAGTGCAGGAGGCCTGCTCCCCACTGTCAGCTGGGCATTCTTAGCACTGCCACAGAAGCTCCTGCCATTGCCGCTGTGCTCACCAGCCGTGAGCCCAGCTCAGGGCTTCTGTCTGAGAGGCACTCCCCCTATGGGAGCTCACTGACCACCAAGGGTCTGCCTCCTGGTGGTCAGTGTGTGTCATAGCGACCGGTCATTCCATTGTTTGCTCTTTTGCAAATTAGCCTTTTATTATATAATATTGTTGTATTATTTCCCATACACACAACTGTAAACCTACTTTTGCCCCGCCTTGTATTTAGTCCCAGTAAGGGAGCTAAGAGGTTCGGCAGACACTCTGATGTCAGCAGCAGGTCTGGCTCTGCTCTCACTTCCACACTCCACGGACGTGGCTGCCAGCCATGGCAGGCTGTCTCTACCCGCCCATGATGGCAATCGCACCAACCCAGGGCCTTGCCCACGGCCAGGACCATGTCTGTGCTCACCAGAGGCACCTGGGGATGCTCATCACCTGGCCCGGGCCACACACAGGGCAAGCGCCCACCTTTCTCACCACCCATGCTTACATGGGGCACAGGACCCCAGCTGAAATATTCCTGATGTGTGGGGCTGGCGGCTGTACAAAATCATTTGCATCTCCGATTGATTCAGCAATGTTAAGGGTAAGAGACATTGGTGGGCTCCTGGAATTAAAGCTACTTTTTCAAAAGAACCAATTCCACTTATATTGTTCCATACTTCTGATTATTTTTAATTTTCCTTCCCCGCCCCCAGCATGCCTTTACCCCTTTGCTGTGTAATCAGTAAACAGTCATGAGTTTGAATGTGACATTCTTATGACCCAGAAGAAACTCGCACAGTAAGGTCTGTTTTGTGCAGTTTTCTTGGCACCAAGCATCTAGTATCTTTCTTGGCAAAACTGTAATTTTTCATTTTATGGTGTTTAGTTTTTTGTTTTCTTTCCCCCCTAAAAATAATAAAGATTCTCTGTGGCAAGTCTTTATTCTGAACAGTTCTGTCATCAATTGTGAAAAGTTTGTGTAAGCGCAAACACCCTGCAGTCCCAGGCAATGATGTGGTTTCCCTGAATGAGGATGAAGTCTGTGAACTAGATTATTGTTGATGAATAATGGCTGGTGGGGGGGGGGGGGGCGGCGGTTTAGGTTTATTCCCAGTGACATCACGGGGCCAGCACTGAGAAGAGAGCCAGGCCTGGCAGTCCCCCACGTGGGCCCCCCCCCCCGGAGAGGGGACATTAACACTCTCCCAGGAACCCATTAAGTAATGAGACACTACCGCCTCAGTTCCCCAGTGAGATCATGCCATCACAGCTGCTTTACAAAACCTGTGACCCGGAGCCCCGCGGAGTGAGGGAGGCATCGCTGGGAGCTCCTTTCATAACTGATCGCCGTTAGGTAACCCCTCACGGATCTCCAACCGGAGCCTCTGCATTTCCCGATGGACCGGGTATAATCCTCCCGGATGGTGGGGAGCAGACTGGCGCAGGAAGTCCGTGCTGGCATACTCAGGGCCCTTCGCGCTGCGCACGTGTTCCGGGTTCAGAAGGTATACAGAGCAGCATGAGAAATGCCGGGGGGCCACCAGCTGTCATTTGGGGTGCTTTCCAGCTCCCCAGGAAAGAGGGGCCTGCTCTATTTCCTAAACAGCTTTGGTTGCTGAAGACAGGATTTCAATTCAGCCTTCCAAATACTTTGTCAGGGTTATAAAGCATTGCTCCCGTAGCATAGCGGTTCCTAACCTTCCCAATGGCGCTATCCGTTAGTACAGCTCCTCACGTTGTGGTGAGCCAGCCCAACCATAAGATTATTTTCGTTGCTACTTCATAACATAATTTTGCTATTGTTAATGAATCATCATGTAAATATCTGTGTTTTCCGATGATCTTAGGCCCGTGGTCAGCAAACTGCAACTCTTTGGCCCCTTGAGTGTGGCTCTTCCACAAAATGCCACGGCCTGGGCCAGGGGTCTTCAAACTACGGCCCGCGGGCCACATGCGGCCCGCAGAGGAGTCTGATCCGGCCCGCCAGGTTTTTTGGGCAGTGAGCGCAGCCGAGGTGTTACAGTAGGAATTAGTAGTTCATATAGTCCGGCCCTCCAGCTCTCTGAGGGACCGTGATCTGGCCCCCACTTTAAAAAGTTTGAGGACCCCTGGTAGGCGAATCTATTTTGAAGAAGTGGCATTAGAAGAAGTGGGTAAAAAGATTTGCTCTCAAAAGAAATTTCAATCGTTATACTGTTGGTATTTGGCTCTGTGGACTAATAAGTTTGCCGACCACTGTCTTAGGCGACCCTGCTAGCGACCGACAGGGTGAGAACCCCTGCTGGAGAGCCTAAGTCCATCGGAAAGCACAGATATTTACATTATGATTCATTAACAGTAGCAACAGTATTACAGTTATGAAGGAGCAACGAGATGTTACGGTTGGGGGTCACCACAATGTGAGGAGCTGTATTAAAGGGTCACAGCCTTTGGAACGTTGATTACCACTGCTGTCAAAGCGTCCATTGCCCATCAGAGAGCTGGCCAGGGTTTGACAACGGCCTGATGCTGAGCTGCAGCTGGCAGAAAAGAGCCATCTCCCAGCTCCTCACGGTGTGTCCCCGGCTCAGACTGACACCCTCCAACGGCTGCCTCCTCCTCTCCGACTCAAAACAAGCTCCTCGGAGGGTTCCCGAGCCAAGTCTCCATTTACGTAACCAGAGGAGGTGGGAGCCGCGAACGGGGTTTTGACTCAGGGTCCAATTCCCAGCAGCAAGCTGTGCCAAGAAAACGCCCCGCATCCCAGGGTCTGTTTCACTCTTGGTGCTAAATTAGGCTTCTGTAATTTAAGCATTCCCATTAAAATGTCACATCCAACGACACCGGAGATGAAAAGGTAGAGACACTCGAGACAAAACGCAGAGAAATGATAGCACAGTCCCTCCCAACGCCCTCGCTCGGAATCGAACCGGCTCTTCTCATGTCCCTGTCTGCTAACGGGCTGTGACAGAAACATCCTGAGCTCAGACGCCTGACAGGGAAATGGCACAGAGGACGCCTGCCCCAACACCTAAGAAACAACATGAACCGGGCCACACCGGCAACTCTCTTCTTATTTCAGGGGGTCAGGCTTTCCGAAGCAAGGGGAAGGTGCCACCGAGGGGCACTGCCCTCCCTTCTAGGCAAACAGGACCACAAAACAGCTGCCAGTGGGAAGGCCAATAAGGCAAGGAGAGGACTAGGCCCCCGGAGATTGCTAACTCTGAGGTAGAGTTTCCTTATATTAACTAGCTGAGAACAGACGTGATGATAACAGTTTCATCCCACCATCCCATCCCAAGAGGGTGTGAACAAAAGGAGCCATGTGCTAGCCTGTCAAAGCTCAGGGGAGACCCGCATGGCAGTCCTGCAAACTCAAATACCTAAAGTCACCACAAAAGATGGTCTGAAAATTAAATATTTAGACTACAAACAGGTTATAGTGGGTAGTTATGTCCTAGGCTGATATTTTCCCTGACAAAGATCAACTTCGATCTTCTTTACTGAGCCCGTTTGCCTTTTTGCCGCTAAGATAACATATCTGTGAGATGTCTGGGTAACTTGTAACTTCCCTTTTTCTGAAGCCCTTGGGCACAACCAAATGTGGTGGGCGCCAGGACGGATGCCTCATATTCCTTCGTTATCATGTTCATTGTTCCTGCACTCACCTGAGTACACGTACATCATTTTACTTTTTATCCAATCCCAGGAGTTTCCCACCGCTTTGCTTTCTCCCGCCTCCTTACTCCATCAGCAATGAATTTCATGTAACCCCCATATGTCCCTCCTTTGATTTCAGTGTATTAAACAGAAATGTAACCCCGCCATTCTTCGGAGAATTATCTCAATTTATTGAGGTTCTGCTTCCCGGCATATGTCGACAGTTTGGCTCAAATAAACTCACTACAATTCTTTATAGGTTTCAATGTTTTTTTTTCTTTGTTTATTTTTTTTCGTTAACAGGGCTCCTTCCTGCCGTGCTTGAACTGCAGCTAGAATAACACGGAAAAGTCATGCTTTTCTGCCCGAGTACCTGTGAGAGCTGGTCTGCGGGGTTACCGTGAAGGTATGCTCGACCTCCCATCCCTTTGGCACTGGAGGTGGCCCTGGGGCCCAGTGAGCAGAGCAGGCGGCTGACAGCCCACAGGTGGCCTATGGGGGACACAAATAACACTCCAGCCAGAGAAGGTCCACCGTTAGCCCTTCCAGTGGGATTTTATTGTACATCCAACTCATCGCAACGGCAATGCAGAGTGAACATTGACCTTGGCACAGACAAGAGAGAAGGGACACTGGCTTTGAGCCCTTCTCCCAGGTACATCGATCACATAAGGCTGATTACATGAGTTACAGGTTTCTGCTTTTCTTTGGCAAAGGCCTCAAATGATAGCAAGAGGGGCTTTCCCCAGATAGAGATACCCCTGCCCCCAACGGGGCACCGAAGACGGAACGCGCCCACGGGAAGAGGCGTGTGGGTCACCCGCTCAACCAAGCGGATGCAGGCGGGTGTGCTGGGGTCCGAGGGGTTCTGCAGATGGAGGCGCGTGGTTTCCAAGCACAGGAGCAGCCAGCAGGTCCCTCCCAGTCCTCGGCATGTCTTGGGTCTTCCTTCCCTCGAGAGCCCGTTGGAAGGGCAGGCATGTGACCGCTTTTTACTTCTCTGAAGGGTCACCATCAACCTACCTGTGTAGGAGGTTTGGGAGAAGGAACCACTAAGCCCATAGACATCATTTCTCTCACTGACACGCCGCCTACTGGCTTTACGATGAGCATAGGAGCCATAGGCCAGCGTGGTGGCAGAAGCGCCTGGTGCCTGTGTGGTTCGGAGCCAGCCTCCTGCACCCACACCTGGGTCAGGACCCCGGGCAGAGTCATTTGTCTTCCACCCCCACGCCAACAATACTACGAGGCCTTGAGTACAAAACGCGGGCTTCCTGCTCCCTCCATCGCGATGGGCAAAGGCCTTCCACCTGCAGAGATGCTGGCGAGGACCAGGGGGTGCTGATCTCCACTCAGGGCCCAGAAAGGCCCAGATGAAGGGCCTGCTGCCCTCTCCGACTCAGAAGGGCCGACGGTCCTATCATCAGGCCCCAGACTGCTTCTCCTGCCATGGTATCGGGACCCTTCTTGGACCCCCCGGGGCTGGTGGGTGCCCGGTGCAGAACTCCCTTACGTGCAATGCAATGGATGAAAAGCTTCTGGAAGCTGGGAAGAGAGAGACACTCTGCACTCCCTTCTGCAGAGACGGGAGTGGAGCGAGGCACGCTGGCCACAGCTTGCTTTTGTTTCGAGGCACATCAGGACGGTGTGGGATGCCAGTCACAAAGAGTCTGAAGCCCGGTTCACTCTGTTTTGGTTTAGAACGAGGTGGTTTTTATTATCATTTTTTTTTTTCTCGGAAGGAGGGCGCTAAGAAATCAAGAATCAAAATACAGCGAATCTGGAAGGCATCTGGGAGCAAGAAGAGAGATTTAAAGAGGAATGAACATGGGGGAGCAGCCTGGCCTGGTGCCCCCGGCTTGCTGCCCCTGGGACTGAATTCTCTGAGTAGCCGAGTTCAAGGTTGCTGGGGTCCAGGCTTTGCGCTTCATTTCCAGCGATGCCGGACCAGGGAGGACTCATCGTTGACGGCCTCGGGGTCCCGGGGCACGCGCCGACACTGGTATGGGAGGAGCAGCAGGATGATTAAGGTGAGAAGGATGATTCCACACACGCTCATGAGCGTATAGGAGACGATCCACAAAACGGGCTCGTTCAAAGGCAGAGTGGGGACACAGTTGCTGGCTATGTCGTCTGTTGAGAAGGGCCCAGAAATTTCAGACACCGGGGTCCCTGCGATTTCTGAGGAGACAGAAGGGGGAAATGCACAGCTATGAGATGAGCAGTCCATCGCTAACATCGGACAAAAGAGACAACCCCGCACTCTATCAAGCCACAGCCTCATGGCACCAGGTCCGACGGCTCAGGGCTCTGGGTGAGCCCTGGGGGAGTCTCAGTGGCAGCGGGTCCATCCCCCAGGACTGGAATGACAGCATGTTTCAAGGTTCATGTGGGCACACAGGGAGGCACCAGGCACTCCCCAGAGGGAGGTGAGAGCTGGGTAGGCTGGTTGGGAGAAAGGAAGAGAGCAGCAGTATCCACAGCCCAAAGCTCAGCTGAACCCGTCTGCATCCTGGGGACCTCCCTGGTGGAGTCACCCGGGTCCACACTCTGGAGGTTCCTAATTCTGCAATGTGACAGCTTTACTTTTAGTGTTTAGCGGAATCTCTACACTGTTTTTTCATAAAGGCTGCACCATATGACCCAGCTATCACACTTCCGAGTAGCTCCCCAAAGAAAAGGAAAACATTAATTCGAAAAGACATATGCACCCCTGCGTTCATTCAGCATTACTTAGGACAGCCATGGCATGGAAGACACCTGGGTGTCCGTTCACAAATGAATTGACCAAGACGTGGTACATGTGTACAGTGGGATATTACTCAGTCATAAAAAACAAACAAACAAACAAACAAACAAACAAAAACATAATCTTGGCATTCATGACAACATGGGTGGATCCAAAGAGTACTACGTTAAGTGACATCAGTCAGACAGAGAAAGACAAATACTGTAATGGTTTCACTTATATGTGGAATTAAAAAAAAAAAAAAAATCCCTGAAAATGAAACAAAACAAAAACCAAACCAAAAAGCTTCCAAGAAGACTAAAAAAACAGATAAAAAATGGTGCTTGCCAGAGGGGACGAGGGCAGAGGGATGGGAGAAAAAGGTAGCGGGGACATCGTTAGTGAATATTGTGATGTTTGCATGGTGACAGGATCGCAAGACGTAACGTGCTGATCGTATTGGTAAGTGTGTAGATGTCAAGTCACAGTATTGTACACCTAAAGCTAATATAATATTGTATGTCAACTACACTTAAAGAACAAAGTACTTTAAAGAGTATATTCAACAACTCAAAAACTCTACAATCAGCCTGACCCACACTCCTCATGGAGTCCATGACCACCTGAGTTGGACTGGCCCACGTGCTCCTTCTCCACCCCACACTGGTCCTTGTCACACACACAGTGTACGGAACACCCAGAATGGAGAGTGGTACATGAGTGCACCATCGAATTCATGAGGAGTGGCCAACAAAGAGAAAGTCGGCTAAAATCAATCTCATGATTTCTGCTGGCCGACACTTAGACGAGGCTCTCACCAGGGAGGCAGCTGCCAATGTCTTTTCACCGTAGGTCGTCTGTCTTTTAAAACATTTATTTGCTTTATAAATAGAGATGCTTTAACACATGCAATTAGGAGGCTGGAACATACTCCGTGCAAAAACCCGAGTCCAGGAAGGCATAAAGGACTTAAAAGGACCTGAAATCACTTCTGTTTCCAGACAAAACAGAGTAGGAGGAACCAGATGTACCCTCCCACCTGAACTAACTCAGAAACTGGACAAAGTACGTGGAAAGAAACTACTGGAGATCTTGGAAGTTGGGTGAGGAGCGACGGTAAGTCCTGAGAGGCAGGAGACAGGAAGCGAGGACAGTCACTCAGTTTACTGACGGGAGAACGTCTCTGGTTGGTGGCTCAGGGAACAGAGACACCGGCAGAAGCCAGCAGAGCTCCCTGTGTTGGGGAGACAGGTAGATGAACCTGGGAGAGTTTGCAGAGAGAGTCAAGGTCAGGGGCAAGCAGGGCCTTGCTATCTGCTCACTCACTGCGGGGGACTGCCTTCCCCTTGCTGCCATGGCCAAGGGCAAGCAGGGCCCTGCTGTCTGCTCACTTGCTGTGGGGAATTTTTTTAAAAAAATATATATTTTATTGATTTTTTACAGAGAGGAAGAGAAAGGGATAGTTAGAAACATCGATGAGAGAGAATCATCGATCACCTGCCTCTTGCACACCCCCTACTGGGGATGTGCCCCAAACCAAAGTACATGCCCTTGACCGGAATCGAACCAGAGACCTTTCAGGCCAACGCTCTATCCACTGAGCCAAACCGGTTTTGGCATGTGGGGAATGTTCTTGCCCCGCCCCTGGCTGCTTGCACACATGCTGGCTCGGACTGCCTGGGTCCCAGGGATGTTCCTGCACCTGAGAGCGTAGCTCTGGAGTGGCAGGGGGTTGTTCTAGGACCCTGGCTGCTCTGGGCCTATGTGCGGGCCTACAGGCTTAGAGCGGCCTGGCTCCTGAGGACGCCTGTCCCTAGGATTCGGGCTGCTTGGTGCCAGTGTGCAAGCAAGCAGCCACCCCTCCCCCAGCCGCTTGGTGCCTGCATATGCAAATTAACCTGCCCTCCCTTTTTTGGTTAATTTTCATAGCCACTTCTGATTGGCTGGTGGGCGTCACGAAGTGACGGTCAATTTGCATCTTTCTTTTTTATTAGTGTAGATACTTGAAATTTGCTAAGAGGTAGATCTTCAATATTCTTACCAACACTACCCCCAAAAAAGAAAGAAAATGGTAACTGTGTGAGGGGATGAATATGTTCGTTAGTTTGATTGTGATGATCATTTTACAATGCATGTATATACCAAAACATTGAGTTGTACACCTTAAGTATATATAACTTTTGTTTTTCACTTATACCTCAATAAAGCTGAAAAAAAAAATCATCACAGCCGACCTGCCCTATAAAATACACTAAAGGAAGCTCTTCAAGCAGAAGATCAGCCATATCAGGTGGAATCCCACATCTACACAAAGAAATGATGAACACCAGAAATGATAACCACGGAGGCCATGTGAACACCTGCATGCTTAACTGTACATAGGTAAGAAGGTAATTGATTTAAAGAAAGAACAAGGACAATGTATTGGGTGGGTTAACATACGCATACGTGACCTGCAGGACAGTGACAGCACAGGAGCAGTGGGGAGAAGTGTAGGTATATGGCTGTGGGTTCTTCTATTGTATGAAGTGGCCGACAGTGATAAAGGTGTTCACTATAAACCCTAAGGCGACCACCAAAGTAACACAACAAAGAGTAACAGCTAGTTAACTAGCAGAAGAGATAAAAAAAGGAACAGAAATAATCCAAAAGAAGGCAGGATGAGGGAAAACAGGTGGAAAGAGAACAGATGAGACAGAGAACACAAATAACAACATGGTAGACTTAAACACAACCACACTGATCATCACATGCGATAGTCTACACTGGGGGTTGGCACACTTTCTCTGCAAGGACCACACAGAAAACATGGTAAGCTTTTTGGGCCAAATAATTTCTATCACATACTCTTTCTGATCCTTTTTACATAAGCCCTTTAAAAATGTAGAAACTATTCTTGGCTCAAAAGCAGGCTACATGCCAGATTTGGCTGGCATGCTGCTGTCTGCCAATCTGTGGTCTAAACACCCCAATAAGAAAGCAGAGGTTGTCAAATGAGATGAAAAGCAATGTTTAATTTCATGATGATATGCTGCCCGCCAGTAACCCATTTTAACTGTAAATACTCAGCTATGTTAAAAGATAAAGGATGGAAAAAGATGTATCACACTAACGCTAATCAAGAGAAACCCAGAGTGGCTATAATAATACCAAACAGAGTAGATTCAGAGCAAAGAGTATGACTGGGGATGGGGATGGTAATTTCATAATAATACAATGTTCAATCGTAAACAGGACATGAATAACACGAAATGTTTATGTACCTAATAAGAGCTTCAAAATATATGGAAAAAGAATGATGAAACTGGAAGGAGAAATGAGCAAATCCACAAAAATAGAGATTTCAACACCCCTTTCTCCATAATAGATAGAGCAAGTAGACAGAAATAAGGACACAGCCTACCTTACCAGCACTACCAACCAGCTTGACCTAATTGACAATTTATAGAATACTCCACCCACGCAGCTGAATATACATTGTTTTCAAGAGCAGATGAAATATTTAACAAGATGGGCCCTATCACAGTGTATAAAACAAGTTTCAATAATCTTACAAAGGCTTGGTTTATACTATGTTCTCTGATCACATCAGAAAGATCTCTGAAAAATCCATTATTACCTGGAAACTAAATAACCCTTTTCTGAAACTAGAAGAATTCTGTAAGGAAGCATAGGACAAAAAGTCCTTGAGTTAGGGAAAAACGTCTTAGTTATAATACCAGAAAGTTCCAACCATAAAGGAAAAAAAAGAATGAGTTTTACTTTATCCAAATTAAGACCTTCTCTTTGAAAAAAAAAATGATATGAAGTGACAGAAAAGACTGGGAGAAAAATACTTGCAAGTTACTTTTCTTATAAAGGATTTCAATTCTGAACATACAGAACTCTGAAAACTCAATAATGAGAAGGCGAAGAATTCAATATAAAAATGGGCAAGATAATTTGAAAAGACACTTCAGCCAAGATGTGTGGATGGCATATACACACGTGAAGAGATGCTCAGGTCATTAAGTCATCAGGGAAATGCAAATTAAAACACAGTGAGATACCACCAAGTAGCTATTAAAATGGAAAAGGCTGACCAGCCCTGGCCGGTGTGGCTCAGTTGGTTGGAGCATTGTCCTCCTTGGGTGAGGACTTAAAAATTTTTAAAATTAATTTTGTAAAAAAGACTGAGCCCTGTCCGGCATGGCTTAGTGGTTAGAGGTTGGCCTACACACAGAGGGTGTCAGGTCTGAGTCCTGGTCAAGAGCAGGTACTGGGATTACAGGTTCCATCCCTGGCCCCAGTTGGGGCATGTGCAGGAGGCAACCAGTCACTGTGTCTCTCTCACATGGATGTTTCTCTCTCTCTCTCTCTCTCTCTCTCTCTCTCTCTCTCTCTCTCTCTCTCTCTCTCTCTCTCCCCCCTCCCCCCCCCCCCCTGCCATTCTCTCTAAAACTCAATGGAAAAAATATCCTTGGTGGAATGCAGAGAAACTGGAACATAACTACGAAAAAACAGTTTGGCAGTTTTTTTGGGAAATGAAACACATTTCTGTCATATGAACTAGCCATTCCACTCCATGGATTTACCCAGGAAGAATGAAAATACATGTCTGAGGACTTCTACACTAATGGAGAACAGTGTGGTGATTGCAGAAATGGTGATGGAAGAAAATGAAATAAAAGAAAACAATAAATAAACAAAAAAGAGAATGGCCAGCTCTTTCTTGTCATGGCATGCAGAAGAAAGTGGGCAGTTTCCAAAGACAGGTTACTCAGTCCGGAGACGGTTTCTAGGAGGGTCTGGTCCTGCAGCAGACGATGGACCCAGGGCCACTTGCTCCACGGGCACATGGAAGCCAGTGCTACTGGGTGCAGCGGTCCCCCCGCCCCAGGAAAGGAGGAAGCGGGGCTGCCCAGTCTCTGCCCTTGGGGCCCTGTGGCTTTGACATCTTTTTCTTTTCTTCTTTTAAAAAAAATATATTTTATTGATTTTTTTTACAGAGAGTAAGGGAGAGGGAGAGTAAGAAACATCGATGAGAGAGAAACATCAATCAGCTGCCTCCTGCACACCCTCAACTGGGATGTGCCTGCAACCAAGGTATATGCCCTTGACCAGAATCGAACCTGGGACCTTTCAGTTTGCAGGCTGACGCTCTATCCACTGAGCCACACCAGTTAGGGCTCTTTAAAAAAAAAAAAAAAAAAAAAAAAAAAAAAAAATATATATATATATATATATATATATATATATATATATATATATATATATATTTTTTTTTATTGATTTTAGAGAGGAAGGGGGGAAAGAGGGAGGGAGGGAGGGAGGGAGAGAGAGAGAGAGAGAGAGAGAAACATCAATGATGAGAATCATTGATCGGCTGCCTCTTGCATGCCCCCTACTGGGGGCGGAGCCCACTGCCTGGGCATGTGCCCTGACTGGGAATCAAACTGTGATATCCTGGTTCACAGGTCAATGCGCATCCACTAGGCCCCACCAGCTGGCCTTGACATCTTTTGATGGAATTGAAGTGGAAGGCAGAGCACAGCTCTGAAACTCTGTTCTTAACAGTGAATGTTCCTATTTTTACACACAAACATGGACCAGATGATCCACTTTCAACCTGCAGCAAAGGAAATTCAGTGACGACTGCCAAGCCCACGATGCCTCCGTGTACAAGCTGCCATCCGCACAGCACCGAGGCTGCATGTCCCCAGCTATAAAAAGAGCCGGGTGGCATTTCAGAAGCTGTGGACACATGAGGAGAGTTGTCAGTGTGAACGCTATTATTTTCTTGGCTGCAGGACGCTTGGCCCGGGGGACACAGGCAGTTGACAGACCTGCTCCAGGGGTGTGAGACTATCTGCTGAAGATTGGGGGGGGGAACGAGAGGGGAAGGAATCCGTGTGCACCATGACTGCCACCTCGTCTACCGGGCTCTGATCTGAGGCTGGAAGAGTGCCTCTCGGTAGGGGTGTGGGGGGGGGGGGGGGCGGAGAAGAGGCAGGGGAGCATAACAGAAGCATCTGGGGGCTTTTTCCCAAAATGCCCACCACCCTCCCACCAACCGGCGCCCTGATCTACCCTGGCTGAGGGTGTGGATGCTAATACTATAAGACACATCAATGGAACAGAAAAAAAAATCCATAAATAAATATGTGTGTCCTAAATATTGACTGGCATTTAATATGAAATCATAGTGGGATTTCAAATTAATAAAGAAAAGGTGGATTATTCAATGTTATAGGCACCATGGGGTAGTCTTCTTGAGAGAAAATAGTTTATGTACATTCTATGCCAAAGTAAATCAAACATGAAAGTCCTTGAATAAATCGCAAAAAATTTTTAGTGAGAAAGACCATTTAACACATGAAACCTAAGAGCCTTCATGCAACAACTGATATATTTAAATATATAAAAGTAAATATTTCTATTAAAATTCATTATACTATAAGTTCAACAATAACTTACCATTGAGATATGAATTAAAGTGTTTGTGTTTTTTTGTTTGTTTGTTTGTTTTTGTTTTTCCCTCTAGACAAATGACTAATTTCTTAACTACATAGAGAACTCCTACAGGTAAATACAAAAGAATCACCACCACCAACAAAAATACACTAAAATCCTAACAGGAAAAAAATGGGGAAAAAATATGAGTGGGTAGTTCACAGAAAAGCAAAAACAAATGCCCTTAGAAGATAAACCCAATGTCACCCATATAAAGTAGAACAAATTAAAGTCACGCTGAGATCATGTTCTACACCTATCAGATCGGCACAGTTCCGGCATGTGATGAGCCCACGCTGGCGAGGCCGCCTGTGGAAACAGGCCACTGGATCCACACCAGAGTGTAGAAGGCCACATGAGAAGGCACATGGACATCCTTTCAATTGTCAGCTGAGCCCGAGGCACTGGCAGAGTCCGTGTCCCGGTTACACCCCCCAAGAGGGCTGGGGTGTTATTCAGTTTCTGACTTACCTTTGTCCAGGTGTCAGCAGGGGCGGGATATGTAAATCCAGTGATGCTAGGGCCTAGTTAAGAATGCAAATAAGCTCCTTTGACCCTATAAATAAACCTGCTGCGTGGCTTGGCTGCTCGCTGCCTCTCCATCAGAGAGAATGGTGCCCACCTAGCACCCAGCTTAATCTATTTTTTTTAAAAAATATATATATATTTTATTGATTTTTTACAGAGAGGAAAGGAGAGAGATAGAGAGCTAGAAACGTCAATGAGAGAGAAACATCGACCAGCCGCCTCTTGCACACCCCCTAATGGGGATGTGCCCGCAACCAACGTACATACCCCTGACCGGAATCGAACCTGGGACCTTTCAGTCCGCAGACCGACTCTCTACCACTTAGCCAAACTGGTTTCGGCTTGATGAATCTATTTCTGCCTCTTGTCTCTTTTTCTTCTTTCTCTCTTTCTTTCTTAATCCCCAGCTCCTCCACTCAGGAACCTGTTTCCTTTTCCGTGATGGAGAAGGACACGGAAAACAGAGCAACAGTCCCCCAACACCAAAGAACGGACAGAGCCAGATACGGAGAAGCATCCCCTCTGCCACAGCCAATGCAACAATGTTCATCAAGGTCACAGGTGAGTCCCCTTTAACCCAGCAAATCCAGTTCAAATCCTCTCACCAAGAGGTATACCCCCGGGTGTGAGCAGACATATACACAAGGCATTCATTGTTTCTAACAACAAGAGATTGGAAATGATCAGTGATTGCTGAAATAGATTAGGGAACATCCACATACTAGTACAGTTGTTCTCAACCCTTCTAATGTCACCACCCTCTACTATAGAGCCTAAGACCATCGGAAAACACAGATATTTACATTACAATTCATGACAGTAGCAAATTTACAGTTATGAAGCAGCAACGAAAATAATTTCATGGTTGGGGTCACCAAAACATGAGAAGCTGTGTTAAAGGGCCGCGGAATTAGGAAGGTTGAGAATCCCTGTACTAGAAGGTCATAAGGCTGAAAAAAATGAGGGCAGCCTTCATGTACTCACAGGATTGTCCTTGAGCAGGGCACTATATGATCCATTGTAGCTTCTGAATATTCCCTAGCCAACTTTTCAAATTAAATTTAAAATGATAATGGAGATAACGGAGATAGAAACCACAAAATATAGAACACTACAAAATTTGAGCTAGTAGGCTTGAAAAAGTGCAAAATAATATTTCTAGAATGAAAAATATAGAGGATGCAATTAAAAACTCACTGAATAGGTTAAACAGACTGAACATGGCTGAAGAAAGAATGGCCAATACATATATTCAAATTTTCCACAATAAAATATTGAGAGGAATCAGAGGGGAGACTACATATCCAGTAAATGATGCTGAGAAAATTAAATATCCTTATAAGAATCAGATTCCTACTTCACATTTTAGAAGAAAAATTTTAGAAAGTATATAGTATCTTTAAAAACAACAATTCTATTTTCTTAGATTAAGGAAGAATTTCTTAAATAAAAGCAGAGTAAAACCATAAGAAAGATTAGTAAATTTTATTTCACTAAATTTAAGAAAAAATGTAAATAAAAGACACCAAGAACAACAACAACAAAACAAAACAAAACAAAAAGGCCAGGAGATCACCATGCAAATAGCCCAGAAAAATTAATCTCAAATGTAGAAAGAATTCATAATATGCCAATAAAAAGGTAAAAAAACAACAACACAGAAACATGCAAAGCTGTTAATAAAAATCACCATCTGAGAAAAAGCTCAAACATTCCATAAATGTATCAAAAATTAAGACATTTCAGATGTAATCAATTAAAATGATACTATTTCACACAGATTGGCAAAAAAGCAAAATTACGATAATACTTTGACGGAATGGAAATTCTGGTGGCCCAGCTTCTTTGAAGACCAATTTGACTGTAGCCAGTAATGCTGACGACTAGCACACCAAATCATTTAGAAATTCAATTTCCAGATCTCACTTGCGTGCACCAGAGGGTCACCAAAGTATTGTTTATACTCACAAATGTTAGAAACCACCCGATGTAAATCAAGGTGGTATTGGGCAAGTGATCTGGGTATACTCCCGCAATGGAATACTCTACAGCACTCAGAATGAACGGCCTAGTACTCACAGGAATGTGGGGACTCTAGGAAAAGTAATGGTGAACAGTAACGCAAGTGGACCAAGGATATCCACCATACAACAGCAGTCGTGTAAATTAAGAAATAACAAGAGACCCAACGACCAACTTGTGTTTTGTTGTAAACACTATTTATAAGTATACTAGAGGCCCGCTACATGAAATTTGTGCACGGGGCGGGGGAAATTTGTGCCCGGCCTTCACCCTCTCCAATCTGGGACCCCTCTGGGGATGTCTGACTGCCTCTCACAATCTGAGACCACTGACTCCTAATCACCTGCCTGCCTGCCTGCCTGCCTGATTGCCCCTAACCACTTCTGCCCGCCTGCCTGATCACCCCTAACTGCTCCCCTGCTGGCCTGACGACCACTAACCTCAGTGACATTACACAAATGCAGTAATTATGAGAATATACACCAGCTTCATGATAAAGGGTGACTCTGGGAGTGCATGAGGTGGGGCTTTAGCTACACTTATTATTTTTTTATTTCTATAACAAATTTTGGAAGATGACAAAAGGATAGCATTTGTTCTATCTGGGTGTTTAGTCAGTACACAGATTTCCTGTAATTTCAAGCATTTTCTTTGTTAATTAAAACACGTGACAGCCCTGGCCGGTATAGCTCAGTTGGTTGAGTGTCGTCCTGTGCACCAAAAGGTCATGGGTTTGATTCCCGGTCAGGGCACGCCCCAGTGGTGCGTTCAATCCCCACGTGGGGCATGTATGGGAGACAACAGATTAACTTTTCTCTCATCGATGTTTCTCTTTCTCCCTTCCTTTCGCTCTCACATCAATAAAAAAAATATTGAGGTAAATAAATAAGATTTAAAAAACGTTATAAACAAACACTTTGGAACAGAACAAAAGGCAGCCCTTCATTCCATGTATTACGGAGCCACAGACCAGGTCTGGCTGCTCGCTGCAGCCCCGAGGGGAGCCATCACTTTAATGGCTAAGCGACTTGCACTAAAGAGGAGACTCATCGGTGTGCATTCCCACCGCTGCTGCAATCGAAGGGCTAAGTGCCCACACCTTAAATATATTTTCAACAAACAGCAGAAACCAGCTCCAATAAAAACACCTCGCCAGGAACTCATGAGGAAACGCGGCCGCCGAGAGAGGCTTCGTGCTAACGGTTCCCGCGGCACTTCCCGTGGAGCAGACGGGATGGCGGGCTCTGAGCCTCCACTAAAGGGGACGACTGACGGCTGTTGCCATAGCAGCCCCGATCTACCTCGGCGGTGTTTAACCAGCGGACGGAAATGGTGGGGAAACTGCTCTGGCTCTTAGATTCCCTGGTTTTACAGAAGCAAAGCGCCCACAGCTGGGAGACACGGTGTCTCAGGCTGTGGGGCCCCAGGGAACACAGGGAGAGAGGACCCCCTCGGTGGAAAGCAAAGGGTTAGTGCTCATCTGAAAGGGTCACCTTGGCTCATGACCAAGATTCAGAAATGACAAGTCTCCAGCCCCCCAGTCTGGTCACAAGTACAAGTTGAAGAAGTCTGCGCTGACGTTTAAGAAGATATATCACAGCCCCGTCATTCATTCATGGATTGGGTGATTTTATTTATGAAGAATGAGAGCTGGCCTAAGAACTCCAGGTGTACTTTTCCCTTCTCCTGTTTCTCTGCTGTTCTCCACATTCCTTTACTTTGTGGGGATCGCAGAATAAGAATATGAAGCACGCTTGCCTACTTTATATCCCAGGACTCCCATTTTGAGGCCATGATATAGGCAGTAAGAAATAATCACTGGAATCTCTCCCTCCTGAACCAATCAGCTGTAACTGGGTTTCCTGCACACCCTCCTCTCCGTGACTCTCCCCCAAACTCTGGTTAATTTTACTTTTCATCTTTGTGTTTTTTAAAATATTTTTCATGAAAGTTTTTAGAAACATCAACGATGAGAGAGAATCATTAATCAGCTGTCCCCTGTACGCCCCCTACTGGGGATCAAGCTCATAACTCGGTATGTGCCCTTATTGGGAATTGAACTGTGACATCCTGGTTCATAAGTCGATATTCAACCACTGAGCCACACCAGCCAGGCAAATGCTAGTTAATTGTAGATCAGAGTGAAGATCTGGTTGGTTAGTATTCCTGCCTGTCCTGCAATTACTATGTCTCAAGTTTAAGGCTTCCTTTCATCAAATTCCTGTTTCCTTTCCTCCACTGCATGGGGATCGTGTATTTCACCATCACCCCGGTTTTCTTCTGTTCCACCTCCTGTCATTAGTTCTTTTTTCTACCTCACATTTGCTTAGTTGTTCTATCCCTGAGCACTTCATTCTGCTCTTGACCCTGACTGATGCCCCAAACGTTTTCAGTCCTCTGACAACCGATGGGAGACCTGACACCCTATGGCCTGGCACACACTTCCTGGGGCACGAGCTTCCTGCATTCCATCTATGACTTGCCTTTTCCTTACCAGCTCGGCTGTTAGTGGGGGGTACCCGTGTGCAGTCGGGATACTCCATCCCAAGCCCACCACCAACTCTGAAGACATTTTCAAGTGTAAGGAGTGTCACCATCCTGTCAACGTGACCGTGCTCTTGTGGTTTCTCCGGAGATCTGGCTAAGCCTCAAGCCAGGCTCCGCAGAACAACGCTGCTCTGTCACCGTCAGGCCTTCTCACAAAGGACTTCTGTCAGAAGAATGGGCTCCTTGGTCTCATTCTTTTGGGCTTTTGAGAAACAGCAGTGACAAGCATTTATTTCTTATTATACAGGGTTTCGTTGAGGAAACAATATACATAGTGTATCTATGAATTTTCTTTTCCACTCCCTTCACTTTCACTGTCAAACACTAACGTTCCACCACCAGGCCCCTTGAAGTATTTTTATTCCTGGGATGAAGTGCCCATGCAGGTTTAATATGAGAGGGAACAGTAATGCCAACACTTCCTAGCCTTTTCCATGTGCCAAGTATGGCACTGGACGTCTTACTTGGGTGGACTTGCTTTTTCCTCTCAGCAAACCCCAGTACATTTTACTAATAAGAATTTGATCATGGCCCTAACTGGTTTAGCTCAGTGGATAGAGCATCAGCCTGCAGACTGAAAGGTCCAAGGTTCTATTCCAGTCAAGGGCATGTACCTTGGTCGCGAGCACATCCCCAGTAGAAGATATGCACGAGGCAGCTGGTCGATGTTTCTTTCTCATCAATGTTTCTAACTCTCTATCCCTCTCCTTTCCGCTCTGTAAAAAATCAATAAAACATATTAAAAAAAAAAAAAAGACTTCGATCACAGGCATGAGTGGATCAACTCAACACAACTGACTTGCAAGAAGTGCTCCCGAGTGAGTGAACTGACACGTTCTGGAGGCAGGTCTCCCTGTCCGACACCAGCATTGCTCACCTGCACAGGGACTTGCCGCGAAGCCCACCCTCTTCCGAGCTCTGTCAAAGATCACGTAGAAGCCCTCCATCACGGTAGCACCAATCACCAGCGCATTCGTGGACGGTGAAATGCCAAATCGGTAGCACTCGTAATTCAGGCCAGCCCTCATCATGGGCTGAATGTAAAGCTGGTGTTTAAGAGAAAAGAGGAAACAAGAAGAAGCACAAATCAGGCAACATCACACAGCTGTCATGGTCACAGGGGGCTCAGAACTCTCTCAGATGCTATGCACACTACAGATCTAGGAGTCAAAATGTGGTGGTGATAAGCATGGTGGTGATAAACACTAGTGAGAGTGACAGGAACATGTGAATGATCTGTAACTGTACACAGGGACAACCATACGCAGACTGCCATCCATTCTATCTATTTAGTCATCCATTCATCAAGTCATCCATCTATCTAGTCATCTGTCCATCTGTTTGCCCGCCCATCCATCCATCCATCCATCCACCCACCTATTCACCCAACCATCTGTCCTTCCACCCATTCAACCATCTGCCCACCAGTTATTTTTTGAGCCTAGATACTGCCCTTGGTACCAGCAATCCAAGGACGAATAACACATGGTTCCTGTCCCAGCCAAGCTTCCCATCTAAGGGGGCGACAGGTGAGTAAATATTGAGTCAGAAGTATTCCAACAGGTCCCTTCTATTGATAACGTTGGCCTGCTAGTTCTCCCCTCATCACAACTCTCTACACCTCATCTCTAAGAGAGGGTCCTCTCTTCCTCTCTCCTCCCAACTCACTGGCTGCTCCCTCCCAGGCATCTGCGCTGGATCTGCTTCCCCTTCCTCACCTGTCAGTATCCGAGAACTGCAGAGCTCTGGCTTCCTTTCCATCTTTCCTCCCAGGTGGCTCATGCAGCCCCATGGCCCTCAGTACACCCCTGCGCTCTATGCCGAGGCTTCCAAATCTTTACATCCAGCCCAGATCTTTGCTGCCATTGCCACACGCTTCTGTCCACCTGCCCACCCACTCATCATCAGTTGGCATCTCAAGTGTAACAGTAAGAAGATAACCCTGAACTTTGGCAATTGCCCCAATCTGCTCATCTGAAGGCTCTCTGTCTCAGTGAAATCCGTGACACAGCCTTGACTCAGGTGCCAGAGCACCAGGTCAGTATCTCTGATCTCCCACCGAGACCGCACACGGCGCCTGCGGCCTTCCTTTGAAATAGAACCTGATCTGATCACTTCTCCTATCTCCATCACCACCACCCTGGTCCAGGTCATGGTTGGCCTCTTCTCTCCTGATCTACAACAAAGGTCCCTAACTGGCTCCAGGATGCACAGGTAGGATGACTTCCTCAGTGCAAGAGGCAAAAACCATCACAATCAGAGAGAAGACACGGCATCAAAAGATAAGAATCTCTGACATGTGTGAGGCCCCTGTCCTGAGGTTTCCAGGAGGCAAGAGTTATTGGGGACATGAATTAAATCTAACAATCAGTGAGCAAATCATATCACATTGGTAACAATTCCTCTGTTGTTGTTTTTTAACGGAAAAGTATTAAAATGTAGGCAGTTAAGAGAGAATGGCTTGGTATGACATGACAAATATATTTTTTTGAAAAAAAACAAACAAAAAAACACAATAAAGCACAAAATAAGTGAGAAGGATTTTGCCCTAAAGGATGAAAGCACTAAGGAAAACCTGGAGGAACAAGTCAATACTCAGATAGGCAATTTTGGGCCTTCTGGGAATGTGAGAGGTAGGGATATTGGAGGGACGAGCAAAGATTGAAAGGAGATCAGAGGGAGGGGCTTCCGTAGGATGACTGATGGAGGTGGAGGAGGCAGACTGGGCCGAGTGGGGGTCTTTGGAATGGTAGGTACAGAAACAGCATTTAAAATCCAAACAGAAAAGGAAGCCAGAAGCTGTGCTGGCGAAAACATAAGTGATCAATCTGACCCTGAGGAAGGTTATCGCCACTGTACTTCCCCTGCAGGGCGGATGGGAGGGAGAGGGGCTGCAGGGTGGAGGGGAGGGAGAGGGGCTGCAGGGCAGAGGGGAAGCACGGACGGACACAGTGGTGGCAGGGCCTGGAGTCACCACCTGCTGGGCATCGAGCAGCTGCTGTGTCCAGGGCGAACCCTGCACTGATTGGTGTGTCTGTCTGCAAACCCCTCTTCAAGGCCAGGCATCATTCTACTCCTCCCTGTGTGCCCAGCGCCTAGGCAACTAGTATGCGCCAGGCATATAGGAAGACCTCAATAAATGTGTGTCAAATGAATGAATGGGGCTAAGCTTTGATCAGTGCTAAATTAAGTGTGTGTGTGGGGGGGAGAGGGGAAGGTGGCTTAGCTGTTACAGAATCAGAAACACACACACACACACACATACACACATCCCTATCTTTGAATGAACTAATCCCACAATGAAATCCAAATAATTATATGAAGTATGATGCAACTGATGATACTGATGTGAACAGAATTCGTATCTTTTACTCTGGTCTGTCTGTTGGGTCCCAGTTGAACTCCCAATAAAAATTCCAGACTGTCAATGTGTCACATGTCGAGAAAGCTGTGGCATTTCTGGATCTCAGAAGAAACTGTCTGCCTTATGCTGAGTACAAATGGGCGAACCAGTGGCACCAAGACTGAAACTATTTACACGTACAGGGTTATGTGAAAAAACAATCAGAATTTGTCTGAGAGCTGGAAATGGATTTTTTAACAGGCCAAAGAGAACTCAGCTGGTGTGTTGCTCGAAAACGGTGTTGGTGACAATCCAGACTCTCCTGCTCTAGCAGCCACCTGCCCAGCTCTGCCTGCTGGGCCTGAAGGTCCCAGGTAGGGACCCCAGGCTAATACTTTGGGGACAAGGAGCCCTGTGATTGCTCTGAATGTTAGGAAAGGGGTGGGGCAGGCAGAGCTGACGTGTTAGATGACACCAGTGCGTCCTTGAGGGGTGTGACCAGCATATGGAACGTGCAGAAAGAATTGAGAGAGAATAGAAGTGTGTGTGTATGTGTGTGTGTTTTCAGCAGGGGATTGCTCACAATTACACATCCATGTCCTTCCCAACAGGCAACGGAAAGCAAACATGATGAGGCCGAATAAAAACTCAAGCAATGGGGAATGTTGATTTTTAAAAACCAAAAATGTGAACATGTCAAAGTCAACCCCCCAAAAAAACTACAGTCTCACAAGTGAGAATAAGACTGGATTGTTGCCGAAACCGGTTTGGCTCAGTGGATAGAGCATCAGACTGCAGACGGAAAGGTCCCAGGTTCGATTCCGGTCAAGGGCATGTACCTTGGCTGTGGGCACATCCCCAGGAGGCAGCTGATCGATGATTCTCTCATCGATGTTTCTAACTCTCTATCCCTCTCTCTTCCTCTCAGTAAAAACTCAATAAAATATATTTAAAAAAAAAGACTGGGTTCTTACTCAGAGATATACACATGGACACCACCTCCCCACCCTGCCTCCTGTGTCCCCACACTCACCCCGTGCTTGATCCTAAGAACACCGACAATCCCCAGGGAACTTTCAGCTTTGATGGCTATTAGCTGCCCGGGACATAATAGGTTTTTCCCTGATTGCCTGCTTTTTTCCTCCTGCTTCTTGCGAGTCCCTGACTCTGCCAACCACCCACACGCCGTTTATTTGCCAGGACACGTCCACCCGTGTCCTCCAGCTAGGCTTTAACTTCAGTCACAAACCGCGCTGATGAAATAACGTCCACATTTGGCTGGCTGGCCGACCAAAATATAATCGTAAAAAGTACATTATTTTAAAGATGCTGAAAACATATTCCAACATCACTCTTTGCAGTGCCGTGCAGCCAAGGTCATGGCCGTCTTCTGAACATGCCACTGCAAGTATTACCATTTCTCCTTTATAGTTAAAGAGGTAGACGCAGACAGGGCGAGTGAGTCAAGGACAGTGTTCTCTGCCAGGCTGTATTTCAGTCTTTTCCCCAATAAGTGCCCCTTTCTGGAATGCTACCCTCTTCCCCTATGTAAAGTTGAAAAATGGAGAAAAGGCAGTATTATCCCTTACTTGTTTCTTCTGAAATTATTCCTCCTTTCCTACCTCCTAGCCACACTCTTTTATCCCAAATCTACCAGATTATATGGCATAGACACAGGGCTTAGCCATTTAACTGTCACAGGGCACTCCCCTCCCATGCAGGGCAGTGTTGTGGAAGGCAGGGTGGTCTTTAAAACTCATGGTTCTCATCTTCAAGGAAAGAATTGAGAGAGAATAGAAGTGTGTGTGTACATGTGTGTTTTCAGAGAACAGAAGCCAAAGGGAAAAAGGCAACGGCATAAAATACACCCCAAAGACATGGCCCCTTGCCAGATGCGTAGCCTGGAAAACTCGCATTATGGGCTTGAAGAGCAAGCTCACAAACGGGTCTTTCTGCTCAGCGGAGGTTCCACAAAGGATGGGTTGTTCTAGTCGGATCTTCGAGGACGGGAAGAATGTAGATGCACAGATGGAGTGGGGACCAGAAGGCCTTTCAGGCGCGGAGTGGTGAGGGGCGGGGAATGGTGAGAGCAAAGGTTAGGAGAGGGAGCAGGCGCAGTGGCCAATCAGTGGAGGATCACGGATGGAGCAGGAAATAGAGGGGAGAGCAAGGAAGGGCCCAGCGAGGGGGTCCTGGAGAGCCACACCAGGGAAAGAGACCATCGGCATTTAAACAGTGGCACTGAAGCCGAAACCAATTTGGCTCAGTGGATAGAGCATCGGCCTGTGGACTGAAAGGTCCCGGGTTGGATTCCGGTCAAGGGCATGTACCTTGGCTGCAGGCACATCCCCAGTTGGGGATGTGCAAGAGGAAGCTGATCAATGATTCTCTCTCATAGATGTTTCTAACTCTATCCCTCCCTCTTCCTCTCTGTAAAAAATCAATAATATATTAAATAAATAAATAAATAGTGGCACTGAAAGCTGTGGTTTAGGAAGCCTGACCTGGAATCGTTGTAAAAGGAAACAGAGTGGTGACATGGATGCCTACAGGGCACCCTGGAGGTTCCCGACGTGATAGAAGGGGGAGTGAGGGACATACTGAGAGTTATGGGAAGAGGCGAGAACATGACTAAGGAAGACGGGAGTTGGCCTATTGAATTAGATGCTTGGGATGAAGAAGGAATCAATGATTTATTGCTTATGGGGGAAATGGTGTCTTAATCTCTGAGAATCTCGTTTTATTCTTTATTTACACATAACTAGGAAAAACCCATCTATTGGTATTGTTGGAGATGTTGCAAAAAATGTCCTCAATTCTTGACCTTTCCTTGTAGCCACCCCCTTGTGATGTGACTTTGCAGACCCTCCCATTGGGAGGTGGTGTCTACTTCTCCACCCGGGAGTCTGGGCTGGCCTGGGCCTTGTGTGGGCAGCACTGTGCAGGAGGTGGTGGCCAGTTCTGGGAATAGATTGCAGGAGTCCCCAAGTTTCTTCTCTCTCAGAAGAAGAAACCGCTGCATGAGTCACCGCTGGATGGTGAGCCAACAAACTGCCCTATCACTCCACTGACCTAGCCACCAGAGTAAACGAGGCCATCCCAGAGCCCAGACCAAGGCCCACCGAGACCAATGCCCACCTAGACCAAGGCCAACTTAGACCAAGACCACCCTAGACTGAGGCCAACCTAGACCTAGACCATCCTAGACTGAGGCCACCCTCGACCCAGCCAACACCAGTTGACAAGACACAGGAGAGCAAGCCCAGGAGATCAACAGACCCACCCAGGCTCCTGAGCAGGAATTAAAGCTCACTGATAAAGCTGCTGCTATTCGTGGTTGTTTGTTACTCGGCAGCACTGTATATCTATGCCTGTGCTAGGTATTGATTATTAGATATTATGCATGGAGGGCTTTACTTTTGTACGCTACGCGTTGAAGAGAGAAAAGCACAAATCCAAGCTCCTACCTGAGGCAGGATAGTGAGGCGGAAGGATCTGCTGGAGTTCTCGTCTCTCAGGTAGATGGAGATTTTCGGGAAGTAAGACCAAGGTGTTTCGGGACTCGCCCAGCATGCCAGCTGGGATCCAGTCCAGAAACCATCCGAGAATTCTGGAATCTAGACAAAGCATGATAACGTGAGAACTAATGACTAGTCTGGCGCGTCAACAGGAAACAGCTCCCAGCTCTTCTTGTCACCCCGCCAGAGGCCCACGGGGATAAACAGGGTTTAATTTGGGCGGCGCACGGGAGCCATCAGTCCTCTGGAGGGAAACGGTGCTGACAAATAACAATTATTAACACACCGTGGCTTGTGGAGCACTCGCCGGCCTGAGGCACCTTTATAAACGCTTTGCAGTCTAATCTAATCCTCAAACACCGCCATCAGCGCAGTAACATTACCCCCTCTACTTCACAGATGAGGAAACCAAAGCACCAGGAGGTGAAGTGGCTTGCCCAAGGTAACACCATAGTTGGCAAGGACCCTTTAAAAGAGAGACCTGATCCTAAATGTGGCCCTGGGGACCTTTCAGGCATCCTCTCTCCTTTGAATTCCCCGCGCCCAGCAAGCTTCCTCCAGGTACAGAGCCCCTTGCGAGCTCTCTGCTCTTCTGGAACATCTTTCTCCTCTCCAGATCTCAGCTCAGATGATGCCTTCTCCAGGAAGCCCTCCCTGATTCCCCCCCACCCCCCATAATGCTGGTCCTCCACCGGGGATGCCCTTGTAGCAGTTAGTTTGACATTTACTGTGATTGGTTCACTTCCGTTTCCTGCACCAGGATCTGAGTCCTCTAAGGACAGAGGCCTGCTATCTGCATCCCCTTATGGTCCTAACAAAGCCCATCAGGGAGACCCTGGACAGACTGTGGGAAATATGAATGGGCTGGAACACAGAACGCCCACCTGTGCCTCTCGTCAGGGGACTGGAAGGACAGTCACCCACTACTAGTTGCTGAATCTTCAGTGAATGACAAGTTCCAGCCATGCCATCTCGCCAGAATCAGCGAAGGCACCAGAGCAGGGCTGCCCTGGGCCTGCTGGCTCCCCAAGGGAGGACCGTGCGGCAGGCTCCTCTGCTACCAGCACATCCCTGCCAGCACAGAGCCCTGCTGGGGGACTATGTGGTGGGGACAGGGCTAGGAGAGTACTGACGGGGAGGAAGGCAGGTGTTTGTCCCTGAGGTAGGAACACCTGGGCTGAGTTAGGGACGAAAGGGCATTGGTGAGGTATAGTGGGAGGGAGGGGGAAGGAGGAGGGAGGAGGGCAGACCATGAAACCTGCCCCACTGGGACGCGGATGACAGTCACGAGGACAGAAAAGCGCATGAGGCAGGCACGAGAGAGCCAGGGCACCATGGTGCATTTATCAGAAACCGTTTCTCAGAGGCCTGGGCTCCACGGCACACAGTGTCACTGCGGCATTCCAGTGGGACCTGCAGGTCACTTGTCTGAGTCCAGCCTCCGGGGGAGGAAGGGGGCGTGGCTGAATTCCAGAGTCACGGACAGGAGGGTGGGACACGGTGATGTGGCCATGGACAGAGCATTTAGGACAGTACAGGGAGGAGAGGGACCTAGGACCCACCCAGAGAGACGGGCAGGAAGAGAGACCCCCAAGAGCGGCCCAGGGCTGGGAAGAGGTGCCCGGAGGAGGGAGTGATGGAAGCTAAGCACACTGCTGTGCAGGACACGTGGGGCAGGTACAGAGGATACCATGGCGGGGCAGGATGAACGCGGGGTGTGTCCTGTGCTACAACCGCACACACCGGCGCCAGCCTCCCTCCCGGTGACAGAGGGAGAAATATCCTGTGTCTCCATCCACGGAAGGCTGCCCCCTGGACTGCCCAGGAGTGACCTGCAAGATCTCTAACACTGGCTTTAACGCAGTGTCTCCTTTGATAGAAGCGAAGTCGATTGGAAATGGGCATCCTAGTCGATTGGAAATAGAGCCTCTTGCCAGACGATGAGGCGGGGCAGTCATTTTGCCGGAAAGGGTGGCTCGGCTGGCCCACGGCCCACAGCTCTAACATCAGCACTAAGAGCAGGTCCAGCCACGGATGGAGAATGAAGCTCAGAGAGGCCAAGGAGCTGGCCTGAAGGGCTCAGCTCAGAACCTGATGCGGGACCGTCTGCCTCCAAAGGAGCCTGGGAAGCTTCCAGGGGCTAAGCCATGTGGGCGGGGGGTGGAGGGGGCTAGAGTCAGAAGTCATCTGGAAGCTGGGCCTCTGCTTGTGTGTTTTAGAGTTGCAGAAGCACGAGGCCTGAGATGCATGGTACCACAGCCGGGAGGGGTGGAGCCCAATCTCTGCCACACACAAGTCCCCACTGGGCTCATTTCAAAATACAGGCCTACCCACCATCCTATCTAATAAAAGACTAATATGCAAACTGACCTTCACATACAAGATGGCTGCCCCTATGTAGACATAAGATGGCTACCACAAGATGGCCAGCAGGGGAAGGCAGTTGTGGGCAATCAGGCCAGCAGGGGAGCACAGTTGGGGGCGACCAGGCCTGCAGGGGAGGGCAGTTAGGGGCAACTGGGCTGGCAGAGGAGCAGTTAGGAGCCAATGAGGCTGTCAGGGGAGTGGTTAGGTGGTGATCAGGCTGGCAGGCAGAAGTGGTTAGGGGCAATCAGGCAGGCAGGCAGGCGAGCGGTTGGGACTCAGCAGTCCTGGATTGTAATAGGGCAGTCGGACATCCCTCTAGGGGTTTCAGATTTGAGAGGGTGCAGGCTGGGCTGAGGGACACACTCCCCCAAAACCCCCATGTACGAATTTCATGCACTGGGCCTCTAGTTCATTTCTAAAGTCCCAAGGCGATAGTCCACGCAGGAGCCAGAGCCCAACGAGCCAGCCTTTCCCTGACCCAAAAGAAAACCAGGCGGGGGCGGCTCCGAGGGCCGGCAGACGGGGAACAAACACGCCTTTGGTGCGCACACAAAGGTCCGCAGAGCGCACACACCCTCCCGGGACAAGCAGCCTTCCCAGGTTGCTCCTCCTGACGCGGGCTCCGGGGTCACAGGATCCGTGGCGATGAGGCAAACACATTTCTTAATTTCCCTCCTGCACCTCGTGGTTTTCTTACAAAGCCAGTCACTGCCCAACTCGTGATCCGATGACCACGGGGTGCCAACACCTGCCGGCTACAGCCTGGCGCTCTCTCCAGAGGCTCTGCTGGCGGTCGGTCACACGCCCAGGGTCCGGGCACTTCCGGGGCCCATGGGGAAGCACTCACAGCTCAGAGCATTACACCTGACAAGCACTGGTAGCTCAGAGCATTACGCCTGACAAGGCCCGTGTGGACTCTGCTGCGGACATGTCCACGAGTGAGGGAAACGGGCAGACGCCTCCGTAATTCGAGCCTCGAGCCTCGTCTGATTTGCCGCCAGCATTCTGAATGTCAGGCTCTAAAGCTTCAGGCCTTCCTTGTCTGATTCAGCGGATATTAGACGGCTCTGGCTGCCGCCTTGATGACCTTTTAGTGCCTCCGTGTTCTTGCTTTTTTATTCCTCCTCTGCAAGCTTTTTGTTTGCCTGCTGCTCTTCCTGTGGCAGTTTTATATCTGTCTGTCTGTCTGTCTGTCTATCATTAATCCTTCCATGAGGAAATTTTTCCCATTGATTATTAGGGAGCGTGGAAGGGAAGGAGGGAGCGAGAGAGAGAAAAACATCAATGTCAGACAGACACATCAATTGGCTGGCTCCCGTGTGCGCCCCAACTGGGGCCGGCAATGAATTTGCAACCCAGGTACGTGCCCTTGACTGGGAGTACCATTCAGTGCACAGGTCAGTGCTCTACCACTGAACCACACCGGCCAGTGCCCCATGGCAGTTTCAGAGTCTTGAAGTTTCTGTTCAGGACAACTACAAGCCCTCTCTCTCTTCCCAGGTTCCCGTCATCACTTGTAATAAAGCAACTGCTCTGCCTTTTCTGATCAAGCATCCTTTGAACTAGGCCTTCCCAGCGGAGTGAGAAATCAGCCGAGTTAGTAGCAGGACAAGGATCTGCGGGAAACACGCATTTCCGGTGACTTTGACAGGGAGTCCCTCATGGACAGATTTTTTTTTTTTTTTTTTAATATATGTTATTGAGTTTTTACAGAGAGGAAGGGAGAGGGATAGTTAGAAACGTCGATGAGAGAGAAACATCGATCAGCTGCCTCCTGCACCCCCCTACTGGGGATGTGCCCGCAACCAAAGTACATGCCCTTGACCAGAATCAAGCCTGGGACCCTTCAGTCTGCAGGCCAATGCTCTATCCACTGAGCCACGCCGGTTAGGGCTGGACCGATCTTATCCTAAAAACACCCCCGCGGCTGGGAGGAACGTGTGCCTTGCATTCACACAGTAGCAGCACTGCAGGGCGGACCCTGGACAGCAGCTCCTCTGTCCCGAGCACCTGGGCGCAGGACGTGACCCCAGAACAACCCCGCTGAGAACGTGGGGGCCCTCAGGGGGCCCGATCCCTTCTCCGGGCACTCTGCTCATCTGTGCCAGAAACCAGACTAACTTCAGTCCCATCTGACCCCAGAGCTGTGCCCTTCCCAATCAATGCCAGCTGGTCCGCTCCGATGCCCCAGACTGGAAAATGGGGGTCACCCTGGGAATACCATCAGCCAGGTCTCCACAAGGCACTTGTCTCTGACCTCGATTTCAGTTGTGTTACTGAACGTGACCACACAGTCATTATTATGTCGGCCAACTGGTCCTTGTCACCGGTGGATCACATTCTTTTACAAGAGAATGAAAATCCCAACGCAGCCCTAACCAGTTTGGCTCAGGGGATAGAGCGTCGGCCTGCAGACTGAAGGGTCCCAGGTTCGATTCCGGTCAAGGGCAGGTACCTTGGTTGCAGGAACATCCCCAGTGGGGAGTGTGCAGGAGGCAGCTGATCAATGTTTCCCTTTCATCGATGTTTCTAACTCTCTATCCCTCTCCCTTCCTCTCTGTAAAAAATCAATAAAATATACTTTAAAAAAAAATCCCAACACAGCTTGAATGAGGCCTGGTAAGGAGTATGATTTCTGGTTTATTTCTTTAGTTTTAAAGGCTACAAACATATTCTTGGCTATTTATTTTAATGTAGTATATTGCCATTTTTATTCTTAGATTAAAAAACTGTTCAGCACCGACTACACCATCATTTCAAATACAAATACGCTGCACCTTCAGATTCCAGTTCTCTCGGGTTAAAATGAAACAATGAGGTGCCAGTTAATGTCAAATAACAAGATGGTGAAATGAGTGAGAAATCGTTAAAAACACACACAGCCCTCAAACCCTCAGAGGGAGGCCAGTGGAACAGAGGGTCACACTGCCCAGCACATGGCCATGACCTGTGTTCTCCCAGGTTCATCCGCCCGCACACTCACCAGAGACGCGCGGGCCACACCGTCGACCACGGCATTGAACACCTTCAGGGGCAGGCGCAGCAGGGTGGTGCCGCTGTCCACGATGGCCTTGTCCGCGTTATACTGAAGGGGGAAGGAAAGGGCGCATGAGTGACACCGCACCAGCCGCCAACCCTGGGCATGGTCATGCACAAGCTGGGGCAGCCACGGCACCTGCTTGGCGGTTACGATGAATTTTATATTCTGGAAATCTGGGATCTTTGAGCTCAACGTTCTCACTTCACAGATGAAGAAACTGAGGCCAGAAACGGGAAGTGGCATGACCAAAATCAGCAGCCCTCCCCACGCAGAGCCTGTCCTTCATGCAGAGGTGCCCAAAGCCTTTACCCAGGAGCCTCCGGGGCAACCAGGGCAGACCCCCGTCCCCTCAGAGGGTGCGATGGCACATTAAATGCCATTTGCACAACCCACACCAGCCAGCCCTCCCTGAGGCTGCCCAGGGAGAAAGAGGACCAGAGCCACCTTCCCTCGGAGCATCACACACCCACACACACACAGCTTGCATTTTACTTCAGGCCCTTGGATTCTGCCACCGGATTCCTTCATGGTGAACAAATGCCCTCTGACCTGGGTGGGATGGACCACCATCCATCCCGTCTCTGTGGGCTTCTCAGGCGGGTGGGTGCATGGGCCTTTGTGGGGGTCTGCGATGGGGCGTACAGGAGGACAGGATGCCAAGGTTGGAGGCACGAGGGAGTGATGTAATGAAATGCTGGGGGTTTTCATAAACCATTCTGAGAATTTCATAGCAGACGAAGGCTCCCTCGAGTCATCATCATCATGATGCCATCACGTGCCGCTAATACGCCAACACGCAGTGAGCGGGGTGAGAGGCTAGCAATGGCTCTGGGCTCTCGGCCCTGCACACCTGCCTCCTTGTAGCTCAGCCAGCCATTCCCATCCTTAGAGCAGAACTTTTCTCTGAGTGAGGATTGTACAGAGGGTGGGGGATGGTTAACTCTGAAGGAAAGATAAAGCTGATGCTTTCTTTTTGGTTTCGTTCAGCTTATTTTTGTCCCCTCTGTCCCTGACACCGATGAAACCTGCAGAATGGCGAAGGTGCAGCACCAGGTGCCTCCCTCACTCACCACGTGGTGCTAATTTTTTCCTATTGAGCCACGTGATGGTAAAAAATCATTAAAAAAATTTTTTTTAGAGAGGGGTCAATTTAAACTTGTCATACAGCTAAAGGCCCTGTTAACTTTTAAGGTCATGAATCTTTGATTTGTCTTATAGTATAATGCACCTTCTGATTTCCCACATTAGGTCCTGCCTGCCACATTAGGACCTCAGGCACACAGGCAGGCAGGCACAGAGAGCGTACAGGGTGGGTACCTCTCTGCAGTCCAGATTAAGGCTCTGGCCTCCGACTTCCAACTTTAGGATTTCGATCTGATAATACCACTCCTCCATAATCGGGGTATACCAGATGTCTCCTTTGTACAGACTCGGTTCGATTCCTCCCAGGACCTAGGATGGAAAACAGTAACCGGGATGAGAGAGAAAACACACAGGCATACGGCACGTGACACAAAGCAGCGTGCCTTTGTAAGTCAAGCCCTCATTGGAGTCGCACTTTCGCTTCAGGCTGATGTTACAATACAAATGTATATGCCTGAAAAGCGAATGTGGGGCCAGGTAGCCACAGGTCAGACAATACTCTGCCCCGTCTGATCAGGATGCTCCGGGGGTTCCCTCACCGACAGGAAGCACACGTAACTCCAGCTTTACCGTACCCAGGCTGTGCCCTCAAAATGCAGTGAGGTAGTCAACCACCCAGCCGGACATGGCTCAGCCCTCAGGACAGAGGATGCCCTCCTACCCCACCGAGTGCACGGAAGCAGAACACAGGGGAGCTTCCGTAATCAAACTTCGTTTTGCAAAATTACATAACCTTGCTCCACAAATCCTAGGCCCCCTCTCCCCTGAAGAGGGGATATCTAGGGGTTAAAAGCAGCTGCATTGCCCTAGTGGGTGTGGCTCAGTGGATAGAGCATCGGATTGTGGACTGAAGAGTCCCAGTTTGATTCTGGTCAAAGGCATATGCCCAGGTTGTGGGCTCCATCTCCTGTAGGGGACACGCAGGATCAACAATTCTCTCATTATTGATGTTTCTCTCTCTCTCTCTGTTTTTCCCTTCCTCTCTGAAATCAATAAACACATTATTTTTTTTCTCAAAGAAAAGAGCAGCGGCACTGATGGCAAATGCAAGTGGCTGAGCTTGTTTCTCACAGCTGGAGAGCAAAGGCGAGGCAGAGCCCACCCTGAGGAAGGCGCCCTCCTCTGCGTTCACCTGTCACCTCCTGCTGGAGACGGCGGGGTGCAGGTTCCGTCAAGGGGACACTCAGGGCTGATGGCCTTGAATGATTCTGTTCCACTAACAAACCATTTAGCTGTGTGTGTGTGTGTGTGTGTGTGTGTGCGTGTGTATGCATGCATGTATGTGTCTGTGTGTGTGTGTGTTGGGGAGGGAGCATATACAGATGTTCTTGTCTCCCCCAAACATATGAAATCACAAGCACCGCCTTTGCGTCCCCTCCCCAGAGTGAGGCCCACCTGCAGACCGCCCCCCTGGTTTTCACCTGCCCCTCCCCGACCCCTCAAAACCAGTTCCCTTCCACAGGAAAACTTTCAAAAAGCTTTAATGGAATTCGGGGAAGCTATGAGAATTATCTTTGGGATGGCAGGACCATTAGGAAAGATAAAAATAACAGCTAACTTTGCTCACTTTTAAAAAGGTCCTGTAATAACTATTATCAAGCTCTTCCAAGGCCTGTGTACGCCTACACGTCTACCATTTCTATCAGGGTCTTTAATAAAATAATACAAACAAACAAAACAGAGCCCCTGTGTTTGTGAGTTTCTTTCGCCTCTGGAGGACGGAAAGATACCCACAAGACTACCTCCGTTGGTACCCGATCCGGCCGCCGGCAGTCCTGCCCCGCACATCTGCATGGAGAAGACGTTGGGGATCCCGGCTTGCCTCACGAGGGAGTCGAAGAAGGTCTCCAGAGAGCTCGACGGCTGCGGAGGGAGGACAGGGACAAGACTTCAGACTCACAGGCCAGGTGAGGAACGCCCAGGGTCCACACCATGGCATGTTCACATGGAACGTTTATCACAGCTACACGGTAAACATGCTTAGGTCTAAGTACTTTTAACAATGAGTCACACCCTCCGGCAGGACATCCTGCCACGGGGGAGTGTTCCTGTGGGCTGCGGGAGTGAGAGTGCTCCTGGAAGCTATTGGGATGCTGTCCCATTCATCATCACCACAGCCGGGTGAGGCGGCGTGGGGAGCTGGGGAAGTGGCTTTCGGGTAGCGGGTGGATTCTCATTGAGGACATTTCGGAGGAAGGAGAGAGCAGGGTCCCGGGGCTGGAGTTGGTCTGCACCTCTTTCAGCCACAGTTGTGTCCATCATGCAACTTAGGGGACCCAGGGGACAGTTTGTCTCAGATCCCAGGCGGTTCAGCTGCCCACTGAACTCCGGTGAGCTGGGACTGAGCAGAAAAGGAGCAATGCTCTGCTCCTCACGCTGGAAAGCTGGATCGTTTATTCCCCGCTGCCAAATTTCACTCTACGCCTTCCTGACATGCAGCCCTCTATGCCGAGGACGCCCCCATTTCCCCAGGACTCAAAGGAGAGAGGGACGATCTACCGACCGCTCTGAGGTGGGGCTGGACCACGGGTGCTGGGGTCACAAAGGAAGGTCATGGGCTTGCGTTTCGATTGTGGCTCTGGCAGCTGGGAGACAGGAGAGCTCGTCACTCTCAGGGTTGGTTTTTGGTGGAAACTAAACTGCGGTAGCATGGATGCTACAGGCATATGCCAACAACCCGTGGTTAACAGAAGGCACGGTCATTTATTATCTGTAAGATAATACACATTATCATCGACAGTTCTGGAGGGAGGATGGAGAGAGCCCCACTAGCAAACATATAATCTTCCCGTTTGTTGAGTTCATTTGCACTGTCTCCCACGCAGCCCCCGTGGAATCTGGGGAGCCTGGGACGGTGTCTGTCTTTGCCGCAGGACTTTGTGTTTGGGTCAGTGAGCGAGACGGAGGCGCCTCTGGACACGGGTGGGGCCGGTGCTGACTCAGGGGTGTTCTGTCACCCATCCTGTCGGAGCAAGGTAACCATGGCACAGGACTGAATCCCTGTTACACCTGCTTTACCCTGGGACTTGGTTTCCTTATCTGTGAAATGGGATGATAATGGGCTCCGAGAGCGGTTCTCAGCTTCAATGGGTGTTATCTCATAAAGGGCTGGGCACGGGGCCTGGCACAGTCAGGGATCTGTTAAGATTCCGTCAGGCCACCGTCAGTGGGACTGCGCCCAGGGTCCCTGCAGAGGTTTCAAAGCACACCGTTCTGCGACCAAGAGAGCCTGATGGAGGGGCGTGCTTGGACCTGGGCATCTGCAGGAGGGAGCCCCCGTAGGTGCCTCCTCAGTGGGAAGCATCTGGGGTCCACCAGGGACCGCCACCCCATGGCCACCACTCACCGTCATCACCCCCCTCCCCCCCCCCGCCCTGCCTGTCCCTGCTCCCTGCACAGCCTCTCCCTGTTTCCTCGGCTGCTGGCGTGTGGGAACAGTGGTTGCTCACCCTGGAATTTCGCAGACGGAAAGATAAAAGGCCACGTGGCATGTCTGGAAACCCCCACGTGGCTGACTCCCAAGGGAAGTTTCACATGCTATTCATTCTAGATCGGTTAGCTCGCCTCCACCGGCTTCCCAATAACCAGCATGAGCATAATCACACCCACGTCTGTCACTTTCAAAGTCACATGAAGACGAAATGTTTGGCCCAGGGTCACGTGGTTGGTGAAAATACACTAAGAAATGAAAGGTACGCAAATCTCCTACTAAGCTGGGCCTACGGTACCGAGAAAAGAGGGGGGTCCGGGGCCGGGCTGGGCCTCACAGACAGAGAAACAGGGCAGCTGGGGCTCTGCCTGCCCTGGGCGAGGCGGACCTTTGATCCTCAGTGCACGCATCTCAGTAGTGGGGTAACTTGCTCTAATCCGTTTGAGTCAGTGGACTGAAGGGTCCCGGGTTCGAATCTGGTCAATTCAGGTCAAGGGCATGTACCTTGGTTGCGGGCACATCCCCAGTAGGGGGTGTGCAGGAGGCAGCTGATCGACGTTTCCCTTTCATTGATGTTTCTAACTTTCTACCCCTCTCCCTTCCTCTCTGTAAAAAATCAATAAAATATATTAAAAAAAAAAAAAAAAAGGGTGGGGAGTAACTTGACCTCACACAGTCAGCCTCTTGGGGAGCTGTGGGAACTGACATCATTGGTATTCTCAGCCGCGTGTCTCAGGGGGCTGGTTTTTCTCCTTGAGAAACCACAGGGCTGGGGATTCCCCCCTCCCCTTTCCCCTCCCCCACCCCTGCACCATCTGCCAGTAAACTTGAGCTGGAACAAGTGTCCTTTGGAGGCGAGAGCAGGCCTTCCCTCCGGGTACCTCAGGGACGCTGGGGCTCTGTGGTCACAGGCCTGCCGCCCCTGCTGCTCCTGCCACTCCTGCCAGGCGCCTTTGGTTTCCCTCTTTGCTCTGCTCCAAGCCTGACCCTGAGCAAGGAGGGGTGGTGCCTGGGACAGGCCGGAGGATGCCCTCCTGCCTTGCTTGGGTGTCTGCAGACGTGCCCAGAGGTGCTCAGTGTCCCAGCCACCTGCCCCTGGCAGCCTTTCCCTGTGGAAATACCCGTGCCCCCACCCCCACCCCACCCCGCCTCTGCCAGCCGCCTCCCTCTCCTGCCCGCCAGGCCAGCAGTGCTTCCTGCACAGCAAACACTGGAGACCCTGCACCTGCTTGTGAGGGGCTGATGCTGCCGAGAACAAGGTTCCCCCATCTTCCTCAGTGGGGGACTACTTCCAGTGGCCGGGGGTCCCAAGGCAGGCTCTCAGGTGTCCCGGCTCCGGCCACAGGTGTCCCTCAAAGGCCCCTGGGTCCACCCCCCGTGTCTCCTGCAGGGCCCATCTGCATCCGAGTGGATGGATGTAACACATGTGTTTTCTCTGGACCCTACGCTAATAAAACCTCCTCCACAAAACCTACAGAGTGATCCAGCTTCTCAACATTTCCAAACTATACGAGTCAAATAGATAAAAACACCAGACAAACAGCAAGTAATGGCACCAGGGTATCTTGCAGGAAGGTTCCAAACTTGTGCCATGTCCCTTTCATTGTAAAAATGCCCAGACATCTCATGAACGGTGTGGCCAGCGGTCCGTTCGGCCCCGTGATCCCGTCTGACCGTCTCCGACGGCCCGGACCCGCTCCCCAGCCCCTCGGACGAGGGGTTTGCGGGTCCTCCTCCCGTCGCTCCGTTCCCCTTGGCCTCCCACGGTGCTCACCTTGGCCAGGGCCCCGTAGGCGAGCCCGAGGATGCCGTTCCACTGGATCCCCGGCAGGAAGAAACTCTCCGACTCGAAGATGGTGGCGATGTTGACGAGGAAGGAAGCGTTGAGGCCCTTGGTGATGGTGACCAGGTCCTCCCCCACGGCGCCCGTCCAGCTGCCCTGCGTGTACTTCACGGTGACATCAAAGCCCTTGGGGTGGTACGTGCTGGACCTGGATGGAGGAGAGCAGGGCCTGGGTGTCCCTGTCCCACGGGCGGCTGGCTGTGGGGGCAGACGGCTGTCCCAAACCTGGTCAGTCAGCTGCAAGCGTTTCCCACCGGTGCACATCGAACCCGGTTCCATCTCCCCCCACACGCATGGCCACTATGTGTGGGTGGCAGCGTGTGGCAGGAAATAGCGAGTTCACACGTGGTCTCTATGCATACAGCTCTCATGCCCCCGTACAGGCCCATAGGTCCGCTGCTCACTTGACTGTGCCAGCCTGGGAAGGCACCACTGCGGGTGGGCACCTGCCTGGCCATCTGGCTGGGTGGGGACCTTGCCCTGGGCTTGGTGACACAGGGAGCAGCGCCACCAGCAGCCCAGGGCTCAGATTCACACAACCAGTGTCATGAGTCAAGACGAAGCCATTCCCGCCAACGCCACAGGCCTACCCCCTCAGGCCCCACACTCCCCCCTGATGCCCCGGGTTCCGTCAGGGCTCCTCCCTCATGCCCCGAAGTGGATCATCCTCACAGCAGAATGTGGGGGATAAAGCAATGGCATGCCTGACACAATTCACGGGGCACCCCCTCCTGCCCCATACGCACAGAGCCCCAAGCGTAGGTTACTCAAACACAGTAACTGAACAAGGTGAGATCATGGGCGGGAAAAATGACACAGAGGCAGACAGTAGGCAAGCGAACAAAGAGAACGCCAGTGATGGGAGCTATCCAGGGGACAGAGCTACAGCAAGCATGTCAAACTCAAGGCTACCATGGGCCAGATATACAAGGTTTAGGTTTATGTATGTAAAAAACACAAAAGCTTCAATTTTCATAGAGATGTAGGTTTACTTCGACAGAGACATGCTGAACACAAAGGGCTGAAATTAATGAGTCACTGTTAATGAAAAATAATAGAACATTTTAATAAAAATTAATATTTTTTCTTGAACATTAACTTATCAGACACTGAATAACTGCACAAATTAATAAGTGTAACACAAATAAACCTATTTTTCTTGTTCTCCGAAAGTGAAATATTTCCAAACAAGTCAGTCCAAGACTAATGCCATGTCCATCGGCTGCTAAAATATTCTCTGCTGGTATTAGTGGAGAGAAATGGTGCGTCTGCACACAAGGTGCTAAGGGAAATGAATGCAACACGATGATAGGAATCCGTCATTAATACACATTGTAGTTCGTTATTAACAATTATGTATAACAGGATATTGTAAAAATTAAGTTACAAAATTTGTATGAAAATGTTTCTTACATACTCCAGAAATGACTGAGGGAACGTGCAGAGTCTGGTCAGGGAGAGGTGGGCGCCTGGGGATTGGTGACATGCCGAGCTTTAGAGACAACAGAAATTCAGGTGTGCTTGACAGGCAGCCGGGCTACATTCATTTACACCGAATTGAATAAAAACAGCGAAATTATTCAGTCCCTTTCGACAATCTGGGGTCATCCCTCAAGTTGAAAACCACACAATTGCTAACAGAAGATGCTGATTATTTTGAGATGCTCGGAGGAGGTGATCTAGCACAGGTTGGCACCCCCTCTTTGTAAAGGGCCAGGAAATAAATGTTTACGCTCCTGTGGGTCACATGACCTCCATTTCAGCTCCTTAGCTCCACAAGGATAATGAGCAAGCAGCCTCTGACAACACGTGAGCAAATGCGCCTGGCTGTGTTCCAATAAAACTTTATTTACAAAGCAGACAGGCGGTCCCAGGTAGCCTGTGGGCCCTAGTTTTGCCAGCTCCTGAGCTTGAAGATCAGCTCTCTCCTCCAAACAGTGGAAAAGCACCATCGCTTTCTTTTGAGAAATGGTTTTCTTTTCACTGTGTCCAGGCTCTTTGGTAGCGCCAAGAGCCTGAACATCTACCGTGTTTCCCCGAAAATAAGACATCCTCCGAAAATAAGACCTAGCACGTGGAAAGATAAGACATCCCCTGAAAATAAGACCTAGCGCAACTTTGGGAGAAAACATTAATATAAGACACTGTCTTATTTTCGGGGAAACAGGGTACCTAGTATGTCTTCTACAGTTTTCCCACCAGCTGCCAGTGCCCTCGTGGGGGTGAGGGGGCGGGGGACCATCTGGATATTTCCTTGTCGTTTGCAGAGAGATAAGAGGCCACTGGAGCTACACTGCTCGGGCTCAAATACCAGTGAAGCCCTGGGTCGGGCCATTTAACCTCTCTGTGCCTCAGTTTCCTGGACTCAGAATGGGGAGAATATAGCACCACCCCTCATGGGGTTAATTCTGAGGATGAAAGAGTGAATATGTAAAGCATTTGGGACAAGAGTCTGGAACACGGCAGGTATACAACAAAAATAGTTGCTGTTATTATAATTATCTAATCACTTGCTACCTTTACCCAATGTATGAATTACTACAAAATGTAAGCTCCCCTCTCCCCCCCAAAAAAGTCTTCTGCAGAGCTGCTCTTCCTGAATATCCAAACTGTCTCATCTAAGGTGTAGCCACCCCCACTGGAAGGGGACAGTGTGTGGGGAAGGCTGGTTCAGGTGGCCAGGAAGGTGGAGGAGCCTTTCAGGATTGCACACAGCACAGTTGTCCAGAGCTGGTGTGGCTCAGTGGATAGAGCATTGACCCATAGATTGAAGGGTCTCCAGGTTCTATTACGGTCAAGAGCCCGTGCCCGGGGTACAGGCCCGACCCCCAGTGGAGGGTGTGCAGGAGGCAGCCAATCAATGATTCTCCCTCATCATTGATGTTTCTATCACTCTCTCCCTCTCCCTTCCTCTCTGAAATCAATACAAATATATATTTTTAAAAAGGTACAGTTATGTTTCAGACCAGCACTCCCCAGGAGACCTTGCTGTGAGAAATAGTCTCTGGATGCCATCCCATTCAGCAGCCATGGGGGGCTACGGAGCACTTAAAAAGTGATGATGGGCCCTAGCCAGTTTGGCTCAGTGGGTAGAGCGTTGACCTGTAAACTAAAAGGTCCCAGGTTCAATTCCAGTCAAGGGAATGTACCTTGGTTGCAGGCACATCCCCAGTGGGAGGTGTGCAGGAGGCAGCTGATGGATGTTTCTCTCTCATCCATGTTTCTAACTCTCTATCCCTCCTCCTTCCTCTCTGTAAAAAAAAAAAAAAATCAATAAAAAAATAAAAATAAATAAAAAGTGATAATGGTGGGATGGAACACTGATCATTTACTTAATGTTAATTAACGAGCCACGCGTGGCTAACGGCTGCCCTTGCGGAGAGCACGGCTCTGAAGGGAGAAAGCACTCCTCAGTCACATCCCCTGGGACCCGCAGGCCCAGCCAAAGGCCTGGAGACGAACCGCAAGCAGCTCTGCGGGTTAGCGCGCAGCTTCCAGCACTAAATTAACAAACAGGTGCGTTCCTCCCCCTTCACGGTCTAACGTCCTGCCTCTTGGCGCTGAAAAGCCTTGGCTCTCGACTGCTCCGCACGTTAATCAGCCAAACGGAGAGGGAGCCCAGATCGGCTTCTCCTCGGCAGCATCTCAGCGTGCCCAGAAACAGCGGCCAATCAAGGATGCGGGAGCCAGGAAAAGGTCCACGCACCGCAGTCAAACCGCTTTGCACCAAATTCAGGAGCCGCTCTCCTCTGCTGAGGGTGCTCGGCGGACTTGGGATTGAAAAGGGAAATCAATGGGACAGAGGAGAAGAGAGCCCAGCACCTGTTGTTATTGCAAAAGAAACCACAACCGTTTCAGAAGACACGAGAGAGAAGGAGGAGGGCAGAACTCCAGGGCTCCCCTGGGTCACGCCACCCAGGAGGGTCCTGCAGGCCTCTGCCCACTCCGTTCTGTGCACACTTCAGACTTACCTTCAGGGTGGCTGGCCTGGCCCGGGGACCAGATCCCCTCTGACTCTCCCACGGGCCTGGAAGTGACTGGAACAGAGGCCGCAGAGCCCAAAGGCTCTAGGCCGGCCTGACCTGGTGGCTCATCAACATTCTCAACAATGGCCCATGGGTGGTGGCTCCAATAGGGCCAGTCCCCCCTGGACACCCAAACAACGGGCAGGCTCCATACATTACCTAAAGCCAGGCACTTGGAAGTAATGTGTGGCTCAGGGCTTGAGCGTCCACCCATGAACCGAGAGGTCGCCGGTTCAATTCCCAGTCAGGGCACATGCATAGGTTGCCAGCTCCATCCCCAGGAGGCAGCTGATTGAGGATTCTCTCTCATCATTGATATCTCTCTCTCTCTCTCTTTCATTAATGTATCTCTCTCTCTCTCCACACACACACACTCTCTCTCTCTCTCTCTAAAATAAATAAAAACATATTTTGGGGGAAAAAAGAATTGGGCAAAAATGTCTGTCACTGTCACATGGACAGAGGAGGCATCTGGTTTGGGGGGTCCAGCTCGCCTCCTTCAGGTTACCAGGTACTTCGCGCATATTCTAATTCCCGTGCCATGCTGATGATCTGAGGGCTCCACCCCAGGTGGATTGTGGGAGGAAGAGAAACACTAATAGAAATATACTTAATTTCCTGAATAGAGCAGCAGGTCAGACATGATCAGTCTATTGAATCTCTCAAGACCACGGCTGGAGGCTGTCAGATTGGCTGGAAAAGAAGCACATCTTAAAAAGCACACCGCCTTCCCTTGGCTGCGGAGCAGTTCGTGGGACACTGGCCGCCCCGGGCAGCGGAACGAGACACACCGATGACTCACGATGACTCACGGCAGCCTGACATCCCATCTCCCAAATCAAAGAGACCTTGTCAAAGAGCCCCAGGCCCAGGCCCCAATTACTGGGGAAACGCTTCAGGAAGCACGAAACCTCAGTCCCCAGTGTCTGGGGGACTTGAATTGGAGGCCGACAAACCCAACCGAGCCTCATTCTAACCGAGGGAGATCAGAGGGCCGAGCCAGCAGAGGCATCACGGCGCAGGCGCCGCCCTCGGAGCAGAAGCCCTGGGAGAGCTGGGGAAGGCAGCGAGAACCTTCTCCTGGCTCCACCGAGAGCAGCGGGGTAAGGTGTGCCTCAGACAAACACATCACACGTCCTTTACACAGAGGCTGCGTTATATTCGTCGTTCGTAGCTTCACAATAATAAATCTGTGCTCCTGTAAGTCTATGGAAGCCTGGGAGACGGAGGGCAGGAGTGGGAGGAAGGTAAGGTGAAGCTGAACGTGGGGCAGCTGGCGACAAGAAGTGCCTGCAGGTCAGCGATGAGCCGCCTGGATCTGGCTCGGCTAAGAAAAACCGTGGCCTTGTTGAAGAATGTTCTCATTACAGGAAAGGTGGGCTGAGGGACAGAGGCCAATGTGAGTGACGTTCTAAGGTACTAGAGTGGGCCCTGAATCACGCGGGTCGGGTTAAGGGTTCCCATATCAACCCTTAACACGATCCGCGTGATTAGGGTTCCCACAACTAGGAAGATCTCAGGCCCTCACCAGTTTAGCGCAGTGGAGTGTTGGGTCGGCCGGTGGACTGAGAGGTCCTGGGTTCGATTCCAGTCAAGGGCATGTACCTCGGTTGCAGGCTACTTCCTGGCCTGAGTGCTGGCCGGGGTTTCTGCGGCAGGCAACCCATTGATGTGTTTCTCTCACATCCATATTCCTCTCTGTCTCTCCCTCTCCCACACTCTCAATGGAAAAATATCCTGGGGTGAGGATTAAAAAAAGAAAGAAAAATCTCACTAATTTACTCCTTGCGAGTCAATCCAGCTGTGGTTTGAATGCAGAAGTGCCCATGGGACGAATGCACACGTAGTTTCTTGGGGGGGGCGCCACCAAGACTCTGCGCCAACGAGGAAAATCCCGCCTTCTCCCCAGGCCGCTCTGGGGCCGGGTCTGTCTCAGCCAGCTTCCTGCCAGCCTGCTCTGGGCCCCGAGTGCCCGCGGTGAGCTCACAGCCTGCCCGGCAGCATGCGTCTCCAGCTGCTGTCCCCCCGGATGTTTACGTTTAGAGGTCCTGACTCCTTCGATGTAAATGCCCCCTTCTCTCCCCAACGGGACATCAGGGCCACCAGAGCTGCGTATGCAGGGAGATGACATCACCTCTGCATCGCTTCAGGGCACACAAAGCAACTCCGTACAAACTACGGGACAACACAGAGGCAGGTTCCCCACAGCCCAGGCCCCACGCAGTCTCCTGCCCACCTCCGGGGCCTCTCCCAGCTCCAGTTCCCGCCATGTTAGGACCAGAGAGGCCACAGCCAACGCCCAGGACCATGTGCTCTCTGCACTCGGGTGTCACTACAAAGATGCTGACTTGCACTTTTCTGAATCGAATCACAAGCGTGTACAGAGACGATTAGAATGTCCTAATTCCTATGGCAAACTGCGGCTCACGAGCCACATGCGGCTCTTTGGCCCCTTGAGTGTGGCTCTTCCACAAAATACCACGACCTGGGCGAGTCTATTTCAAAGAAGTAGCGTTAGAAGAAGTTTAAGTTTAAAACATTCGGCTCTCCAAAGAAATGTCAATCGCTGTCCTGTTGATATTTGGCTCTGTTGACTAATGAGTTTGCCGACCCCTGTCCTATGGATTCCCCCGGAATGAACACAGATGCATTCACACATACACTGCACACACACTACACACAGAGATACTCTCACAAACATATACACATACACACAACTATGTACTAGTGCAAACATATACCTTCCTTAAGATGAAACAGACGTTGGCTGTTTCACTCCGGGGTACTTTGAGGAACTGGTGTGGTCCCCCAAGCCCAGCCAGACCCATCACTCACCTCTGGCTGTCAAAGTAGGAGTCTATGTTCGGATGCGGGGCGCCGGCCACGGCAAAGTTGCTGCTCCCGGTGTCCACGAGAATCTGCAGCTTTGGTTTTTAAAGGGAAGAGAGAGAGAGGCCATCAGGTTACTTGAAAGAGACCATACTCTTGAATGATTCTTCTAAAAATTAACTACTCATCATTTATTACTTGGAAAAACTTAAATCGATTAGACCGTTTTTAGAAAGCTGCTATTAAACGGACAGGTGAACCCAGCCCAAGAAGCAGCTGGCAGCAGGGAGGGGAAACGGTTTTGCCTCGCAGATCCACAGCAAGCCTTACAGAGAACAGATTCCGAGAGATAGCGGGGCTGTCCTTCCTAAGCCACTGGCACGAACAAGGAAGACCCTCTCACCCCGGGCTGTCGCCAGGTCTGTCACCGGGCTGGGCCCAGCGACTCCCGCCTTTCCCGTCTCACTTGGAAATCCCGATCCATCGGGGCCTCTCTCATCCCTGCTGCTAGCACCTGGGAACTCTGGTCACAGGCCTCATTTTTTTGTTTCAACGAGGTATAATTTACAGCTAATACAAATGCAAGATCTTTGATTTTCCACTGATACATTTAGATTAAGGTGACCGGATGTCCCACTTTTGGCGGGACAGTCCCGATTTTTAACAAATTTGTCCCGCGTCCCGGGACAAATTATTAAAAATCAGGGTGGGACAAACTGTTAAAAATCGGGACTGTCCCACCAAAAACGGGGCATCTGGTCATCTTAATTTAGATGTGGTGTCCCTGCAAACCAAGATACAGACATTTCTCCTCTTTCCACAAGGTCCCTGGATGCCCCTTCCCAGTCAGTCTCTCCTGTTCTGCAATTCCCATCACTTCCTACGTCATTCAGAATTTGGATTGAGGCCTCCACACTGGGCATAATGGACGAAATCTTTGGCCATGGGTGACTGGCTCAGAGTCCAACCCCCCCTCACCCCCCTCCCCCGGCCCCCCGCTCCCCCTCTTCCCCACCCAGGGAGGGGAGGCTGGAAGCTCCAATCCTCTTCTTCCAGGTACTTCCCCATCCTCAGGGGCTTTCCAGAGGCTGGCTCCTGAAGTACTGGGTGTGGCTCAGAGGGCTTGTCAGGACTAACAAAAGGCCTTTTATCACTCTGGTCACTTGGGAACTTGCTAGGGTTTCAGGAGCTCTGCCAGGAACTGAGATGAAGACCAAGTATATGTTTCTTCTAACACATCACAATGTCACACGTGATCCGTGAGCGAACAGCAAGGGTCCGACCTGATCCGCCATCGGAATGAAATTTGCAACAGCGGACACCCGGTGCAAGCAACGTGAGCTAACGCAGAGTGTCCCCCAAAATGTATGCTCACTTTAACAGCTGATAGGTATTTTATTTAATAAACCTGGCTTTGAGAAGACTGAAAGGCCAATTCCAATGTAACCCTGAAGTTTGGGCGGGAGGGAGCGGGGAGGGGGGTAGCAATCTGGATCTGTGCCAGTCACCTAAGGTACATCGTTGGTGACCTATAATTAAGTCACTGCCCCTTTCTCCACAATCCAGTCATACAAGACCTGTTACCTAAATGCTCCCATTTTACAGATGCCAAAACCATGAACAACACACAACCCCCGAGGGGGTTATCAGCGCTGGTGCCAGGCCAGGCCCTTAGAGAGGGTCGCAAGGCCCCTATCCCAACCCACCGGGCTTTTTGCAGTGCCCACGAAAGGTCCGGAAGGCCCCGTCCATATTTTGACAAAGAAGCCAAAGGGGATAAAATAAGGGCTTCCACCATATTGGTTTGCTCAGACTTTGGAGGTGACTCCTCGGAGACCGCCGGTGTAACAAAGCTGTGTGATTCCATTCCTCTAAGGCGTTGCTTGGGTTTCTTTGGTCTTCTATAGCACCTTATCATGACTCAGTGTGTGTGTTCCCATTTTGGCGGGACACCCTACATATGTAGCTCCCAGGGCCCCGAGTCTAAGGCCTGGGTTCACATGTTTCCTGGAGGCCAGGTGAGCTTTGCAAGTTGCCCAGGTGGAGGCAGCAGGGAGGAAGGGGGATAAAGCCAGCATCCCTTCATGAGGCCCATCGGGGAACTTCAGGCCTTTCAGAGAAGGGAGTGCAGTGAGAAGTTATCCTTCTCAGCCATTCAAAGTCCCAGAGAACAAGATATGGATTCCGGAACCAACATCCCTCCTCTCCCAGCCGTGTCTACAGCCGCTCCCCGAGTCCTGCTGGCAGCCACACAGCCCACAGCCCAGCAGGACTCCGGTTCCCAGGCTGGCATCCACACCCCCGCCCCCAGCGCCTGCGCACAGGCGTGGCCAACGTGGACACAAGACTACTGTCCTGTGCACAATGGCCCCAGTGACGGGGACCGTCTTGGCAGGCATCGCACCCTTCTTTCCTGGGTGTGTAATTCCACCCACAGCCTCTGCCTCATGTCAGAACCCCGTCCTGCACACACCCCTGTCCTCACCACCCTGCCATGCCACACGCTGTCCCTGCTTCACAGAGGCGGGGGCCACACACGCGGAGACAGCCCCCCCAAACACAGGCTGTGCCACGTCACACCGATGACTCCAGCTGCCTGGGCATTCTGTCCCGCCGCCCCGGCCAGCTCAGCAGAAGCCGGCTTCCAGAAATATCCACAGCCATGCACGGCTCGGCAATATTGGTCACCGCCTCGGCCGCTCCTACAGTGTGATTCAAGGAGACACATCACCCCGATAATTGAGGCAGCCGCCCTATCAGGCGAGGGATGGACATCCAGGGAGCAGTAAACATGTGGGGGCGAGGGGGTACGGAGGGGAGGGTTGCTTCTGATAATGTTTCTGCGCAGTAAACCAGCCAACCCTTTTCCTGCCCGATGGTGCTGGGAACGGACATTTCTCAGGTTGATTTCTCCCCGGGGCCAGGGCAAGCAGTGTCAACTGAAAAGGAAAAAAAGGAAAGATTGCCACTTGCCCTATAATTGTGTGCCATCCACTGTAAAGGGACGAAGGGTCGGAATGGGAGGCTTGGGGTGCAGGTTTCGTCTGGACACCACACCCCTCTCCACAGGCCACCAACGTCACCTGCTGCTTCCTTTATCCCGGGAATTCCCCAAACCATCTCCTGCCTCCTCAGGTTCAATGCCACCCACACACATGACAATCTCACCCCTGAGCGCACCAGTCAGCCCCACAGGGACGCTGAGAATACACGTGGCCTCAGATTCGTGGCATGCTTTGTGCACACGGCTGCACGCCGCCTCCCACGGCCCCTAGCCCCTCCTGGCGATGCCGGGGCACTAACCACGCAGAGAGCCACGTGCCGACTGCCGCAATAGGTAAAGGGAAGAACTGGTTATGGACCCGGTGAGCGATCAGCAGCCCTGGACTTCTCAGATACCACTGTCTCTTCTGCTGCAGGTGAATAGGAAAATTAGCAGATAATCTAAATAATGACCCGTTTAACGCAACGGTTCCCAATCACATCAGCGGCCCGTCTCCCGGCGGCTGCTGCCAGAGGCCCACGCAGCGTCCTTCCCGGCCCAGCCACGCCGGCTGTCGGCCTACAGTGACTCCAGGGGTTGTCGGCGCCCCACTTGCTAATAGGGTCCTTTCCGCGCCTCGGCTCTAGGAACGAACCTCATTTCCTTCCACACCGCTTGTGAAAGAGAGCAAAAATGATTGCCACGCGCCATTTCTCCACAATCTAGATAGAAATTAAGGTTGTTTCTATAAAGAGGGGGTGGGGGGGGGGAAACCATTTCCAAACACTTAACACAACCAGATGTTGAGGAACTTCGCTCGGAAGAACTGGTTTGTGCCGTGTACTCAGGCTCTGCACGCGTGTGCACACACACACGTGTACTCAGGCTCTACACGTGTGTGCACAATACATGTGTGTACTCAGGCTCTGCACATGTATGCATACATGCACACGTGTACTCAGGCTCTGCACGTGTGTGCACACATACACACGTGTACTCAGGCTTTGCACGTGTGTGCACACATACACACGTGTACTCAGGCTTTGCACGTGTGTGCACACATACATGCCGGTGCTTCTGCCATCGCACCACAGGACCGGCTAGGAAAACCCACATCCAGAGTCCTGCAGACGGATTCCTCGGCTCCTTGGAAAACCACGGCTGCCCTGCCAAGGGCACAGTGGGGAGGGGAGGGCCGGGCCCAGCTGCCCGCTTCCAGGCAGGGCCCCAGCTTTCCAAGGAGTGCATGGCGCTTGGCAGGGAGAGACGGGTTGCGGAGGGTGAGGTGGAGAGAGCAGGATCTGGGGTGTGGGAAGGTGGGTGTGGGGTCCCCGTTGGAAGAGCCGAAAAGTCACGCCCGGATCAGAAGCCTCTGGACACGGGAGCTGCCACCGCCCCTGTTGCCGAAACCTGTTCCCGGGTGGCAGGGCGGTGACAGAGGGAGGGGTGCTCCCCGAGTCCTGAACCTTCCAAAGCACCCCTCCCCGACGGGAAGCGGAGAGGGGAAGGTGGCGAGATGTTAGCAGGTGCCCAGAGCTGGCGGATACGGTCCGCTCCTGCGGGTGCTGCCTTAAGTCCACTTCCACCTGCGGCCCCAGGACGCAGCCTGCACTGGTCCAGGGGGAAGGGGGCACGCGGGGAAACCTCTGTTGACCGAGGGCAAGCTGATCTTCTCTTCCCCAAGAGACAACTAAAAACACCCCAAACCCTTCCCATCTTGTCAGGGGTTTTAGAAAATGGCATTTCAGCCAAAAATCAGCTCTCTCTGCGCGTTTCCCGAAGGAGCGGAAACAGACCCTTTTCCCAGGGGCAGTGTCTGACCGCAGGCTGTTCTGCAGGCCCCTCTGGCTTGAGCTGGGCCTGGCGATAGGAAAGGCTGTTAGGTCTGAACTTCCCCTTAAACACACGGATTTCACTTCATCTTATTTCCCAGCATCCCATAGTGTCCGCTCCTCGTCCATGTTTGAAAAAGAACAATGAAAGGAAGATGACGTGCACACACTGGCAGCAGCGGGCACGATGTTCAAGTTGCTCTTCCAGTCAAACCTCAGTCCTCAGATGCCTCCCAGCTCCAGCAACCTGCTTCACAGCCCGGGAACCGTTCCCACCCAT